GCCCCCATCCCTGCAGCGGGCGCGTGTCGGCACCCACTTAAGACAGTGGCCTGGAAGGAGAGTCAGTCAGCCCAGTAATGCTGAACAGGACAGGCCCCTCTGGGGAGCGAGCTGGTCTGGGGTGGGGCTGTGGGGGATGCTGAGGGAAGGCTTTCCATGGCTCTGGAAGGAGCTGACCTCGCTGCAAGCAGGGCGACTTTGATAATTGGAATCCATCAGCACCTGGCGGCAGGTTGCGCGTGAGCCCCGCATCACCTCACAGCCGCTTCAGCTACTCCGCCTCTCGGCCTGGCTCTCGACACTGCCCGTGGTCAGCTGGGGTTAACTTCACAGAGATGTTGTGTAGGCAGGGAGAGGCATCCCCTCCTGCTGTCCCATGAGTATGATGACCTTGCTTTGGCCTGGTGGCCAGCACGTGTCCCTCCCTGTCCCTCCCTGGCTGTGCAGGGGCATCCCTGGTCACCCCCTCTCAGCCGGAGCAACATCAAAGTTGCGCGTGTCCCTCTGCAGGCATCGAAGTAGACATTGACGTGGAGCACGGTGGGAAGAGGAGCCGCCTGACACCAGTGTCCGCGGGCAGCTCTGGCTCCGAGGACAAGGCGGGCCCCCCGTCCTGCAGCGGCTCCCCCAGTCCCAACCAGCCCAGCGTGGATGCCACGGGGGGCGCCGCGCTGTCCCTGGCGGAGCAGATGAAGAAGATCGTCCTGGAGTCGGGACTGCAGACTGAGGCAAGCCTCCCCTGCAGTCCCCGGTTCCCGGCACAGAACGGGGGGGGGCCTGGGACCCCATTTCCAGCAGCCTTCCCTCTCCCTCTCCGGTCAGTCTGATGCCTTCCAGAGCTGGGAACAGGGGTCTGAGAGAGACAGATCGGGGGTGGGGTGGGGGGTGGGGGCAGGCACTGGCCTTGACGTGACCCGGTTTGGGCGCCCTGCATTACACTGGATTTCCTAAGCCCTCTCCGGGGCGACCCCGACCAGGACTAGAGAAGGGGAAAGCCATGTGGTAGTACCCCAGGAAGCCGGGATTGTGGCTGATGGGGTGAGCCCAGTCCCTGCTGCTTCATTCCAGGGACAGATGGAGTCGGACACCTGCTCGGGAGGCGACGATGACTGGACACACCTGTCCTCCAAGGAGGTGGACCCGTCCACAGGTGAGCTCCAGTCTCTGCAGCTGCCCGACTCGGCGGGCCCGAGCTCGCTGGAGCCTTCCCAGGACGGCCCCACGGGGCTGAAGGAGGCGGCGGTTTACCCACATCTGCCACCAGGCAAGTGCCCGCCGCCTGCCCGCCTGCTGCTTGCGCCCTGGGCCCCGCCCCCCGCCCCGCCCCCGCCCCGCTTGCCGCCAGCAGGCCCTGCGGCACAGGCACAGGCGATGGGGGCGGCCCCTCCCTGCCCTCGGGGGGCCAGGCCATAGGCCAGGGGCAAGGTGGGCAGAGGAGGGTCGTGGGGTCTCCTCTCTTCGGCCCCAGTGCTCAGAACGTCTTCCACGGGACTGGAACATGCCCAGAGGGCTGAGTGCGGGTGCGCACAAAGATGGCTCATGGCTCTTGTCCAGCCGCTGGCTTCTTTGAGAATTTTTTTGGAGGGGGGGAAATGGCCACAGCTGGAGGTACTCAGGGAACCATTTTGTGTGATGGAGATCAGACCCAGGTTGTCATGTGCAAGGCCAGCGCCTGCCCCCACCCCCACGCTCTCTGGCCCTCCCTTGGGTCCTGTGTGAGGGGCCATGGCGAACCCAGGCCTGGCACCCGCAGAGCCACACTCTCCCTGCCGGCCCGCTCTCTTGTTAGCCTTTCGATTTGGCTGCGGGGGCCCAGGAGGCCGTTTCCCAGCCCATCTGGCACACAGGTATCCCCCAGCCCTTTGCGCCATCACCTGGGCTGCCATCTGCAGTGGTGCAGAGGGACCCCCAGCATAGTGCTGGGGATCAGACGGGCTGGCACCTCTATGCCTGGGCTGTCTCTCGGCCTCAGCCCCCTGATGTTTGATGTTGGGGCCACCCCCACTCTGGGCCCACTCCGGGCTCTGACTCCAAGTCCTGTTCCACCCCCCCTGCAGTGTTCAGCCCTGAGGGCAACAGGTGGGATTGGGGGCTCCCGCTTGCCCCCCTCTGGCCTGTGCAGCACCCCATGGGGAGCACGGTGGGCCCAAGGGGGCGGGGGCAACTCTTCCTGCTGCTGGGCTGGGCACTACCTCTGTGGTGGCCCGGCCCGGCCCCTGCTCACGGCTGTCCTCTTCCGGCAGAAGCCGACCCGCGGCTGATCGAGTCGCTGTCACAGATGTTGTCCATGGGCTTCTCGGACGAGGGCGGCTGGCTGACCCGCCTCCTGCAGACCAAGAACGGTGACATCGGGGCGGCGCTGGATGCCATCCAGTACTCCAAGCACCCACCGCCCCTGTGACCCCTGCTGCAGATGGGGGGGCTGCCTAAAGCAGGCCCCCCCCGCCCCCTGCACACTGGCTCCCCACTCCTCCGCTTCCATGCTCCCCCGAGGCTGCAGCTGAGGCGGCTGAGCCCCTTCTGGGTTCCCGTGCTGCGGGTCTGGGTCGTCCGCCACAGTGTTGGCTGTGACAGCCAGAGTCCCTGGTCCTCGCTCTTGGAGCCCTGCTCTGACACACTGCATTAAACGGGCACTTTATTCCCATCCAGTGTGTGTTCCTCGTTTCTATTGGTGGGGGCTGGGAATCACTCAGGGATTGCTCTGGGCTCTGCTCACGGCTGACTCCTGGTTCTGTGCTCAAAGCTCCCTCCAACAGTGCGGGGATGGGATCTGCAAAGTGGGCACTTTCGGCCAGCAGAGTAGATGCCAGGGTCTTGAAAGCTGGGCCCCGCCCCAGAGGGCTGCGGGTGAGAGACCTCCCCCCCCCCGCCCCAAGGGACCCAGCCCCGGCAGCCAAACCTCCAGAACCCAACTGCCGCCACGCTCCAGGCCGCTCACACTCGGGCTGAGCCTTACACACGAGTGAAGCTACTCCTGGACACAACATGAGACACTCCCTACCCGTTCTCCAGGAGCACCGCACCACATCTGATGGGGTTCAAATAGGCAGCCAATCATAGGGCAAATACATATGCATATGTATTTTTCAGATATATATATGAAAGGTCTTAATGGCCCCTGCCAAAATAGAACAATCTTCACACAGTTTCCTCTATGGATACTTTATTTTTTGTAGCATTTTCAGTGGTTTTTGTAACAGACAATACAAAATATATTATTTCGGCTGTGCTTTGGGACAGGGCTTGGGGGCTGAGGTGGAAATATCCCAAATACAGAGGTGGGAAGGTGTCTGAATATTAAGTGTCCTCAAATATTGTAAACTACCTTATAAAAAAAAAAGCTGGGCCTGGGGAGTGGCTGCAGCCTTGTCCGGCCTCGAGGTCAGGGATCGGCTCCACTGAGGGGTCCGAGCAGGTCCTCGTCTAAGTCCTCCCCTGTCTGGAAGAGGTTGGCCAGCCTCTCGGGCCAGAGGCACATGGGGGTCTCCGTGCAGGGAGGCGCTGGCATGGGACTGGTGACCGGAGGCCGGGGCTCGGCTGCAGGAACGTCTCTGGGCGGGGTCCGTGTAGCAGGCAGCTCTCTGTGAGGACGGGGGCCCAAGGCCAGCCCAGTGGGACTTGGAGGACAGGGCTGCTCGGTGCTGGGACTTCTTTTCCTGGAGACAAGAGTCCAGGGTGGTGGGCCCGGCCCTTCCCCATGCCCAGCCCACCGGCTTTGCCTGCTGCTGCCCCTGGCAGGTGTTTCTCTCCAGAACTGTTTTTGGAGGAAGTGTGTGTGTGTGTGGGGGGGGGGGTGCTCCCTCAGAGAGCTCAGGGGATCTGGGAGCCCTTCCTTGTGATTCTCAGCTGGCCAAGGACGCCAGGCTGCCCCCGCTGTGCTGCTGGGGGTCTGGAAGGCAGTGCTGAAGGGCCGATGAGGGGCAGAGGTAGAACTGCAGTTGGCTGTGTGCAAGGCAGACCCCTTTACTTTGGCTGTTTGGTGTTTGGGCCACAGTTGGTGGTGCTCAGAGATCACGATCCTGGGGGGCTCAGGGAATTCTCTGTGGGCTCTGGGGTCGAACCCAGGTCAGCCAAGTACAAATCCAGTACCTTCCCTGCTATCTCTCTGGCGCCCTTTAGAAAGTTCTTTTGTTTGTTGAACACACTCAGTGGTGCTCAGGGTTGACTCCAGGCTCTGCACTCAAGAATCACTCCTGGTAGTACTTAAGGGATGTCGAGGGGTGCTGGGAATCGAACCTGGGTCAGTTGCATGCAAGGCAAATGCCTTCCCAGCTTTTGCATCAGCCCCTCCAGAAAGTTCTTACAGGGAGCTGGGCTTGTGCCTTCAGAACACCCAGCAGGGTACTGTGGGTGCAGGCATGAGGGGCTCTGAGCCATCTATGGAGAAGCCTCAACCTTCCCAGCTCCTGAGAACCCTTAAGAACTCCCAAAGCTGGAACAACACTGACGGCTGAGTGCAGGCTCTAGGCATGCCCCAACCCTGTCCCCCCACATACAGCAAAACAAACAAAAAAAAACATTAAAAATCCCCTAACAAAACACCAAGCACGCATCAGGCTCCCAGTTTGTCACCAGGAGCTGCAAGCTTTTGGGGAAAAAGGTCCAAGTAAGAGCAGGTGTCAGTCCGGGGTAGGGTGCCTGCCCTGCACACAGCCACCCTGGGCTTGATCCCCAGCGTCCCACAGGATTCCTTGCACACCGCCACAAGTGACCCCTGAACACTGCTGGATGTGACCCAAAAACCAAAAAAATTTAAAAAATTCCAATAAGGGGCCAGAGATAGATGCTGAAGCACAGAGGGGAGGCTCCCGCGAGCCCCACCGGGGGCACTTACACTGTTACCCACATCCCCTGCCCCCAAAGGGTCTGGGGCGTTGCCTCAGCTTCTCCTCTGCAGAAGCTTCTAGAAGCCACACAGCCCACACCTGGCATGGGGCTGGGCTGGGGGCTTGCAGGTACCTCTTGCGTGGACACTCCTCGCAGGAAGTGGCCCCAGGATCCTGGCATGTGTCCCCTGCCAACATCTTTTCTTCAGAGTCTCCCTCCAGGTACTTCTGCCAGCGGCTTTCCGAGGTCCTGGGCTACAGCCAGAGAGAAGAGCTGAGTGTGCAGGGGGCAACAGGGAGTCGCACCCGACAGAGCCCCCCAGGGGGTACTCGGGGTGATGGCGGCCTGGCCAGTCCCAGGAGGTGAAGGTATGGGGGAGCCCAGACCACAAAGATGGGGTGTGTCTGGGATGCTTAAACCCCGGTTCCATCCCCAAACCTACAGTCTCCTGAGTTCTGCCAGGAGCAATCCCTGAGCTCAGAGCCAGGAATGAGCCAGAGTACAGAGCCAGAAGTGATCTTTGGAGCCCAGAGCTCGAAGTCGGTCCTGAGCAAAGAGCCAGGAGCGATCCCAAAGCACAGCAAGAATTAGCCCCAAGCACAGCTAGGAGTGATCCTGAGCACAGAGCCAGGAGTGAGCCCTGAGCACGGCTAGGAATGAAACAGGCCCATCGGGTTTGGGGGGTACAGTGTGCGGAGCCGTGGAGCCCAGGGTCCAACCCCCATGTCTGTTTTGTCCCCTGAGACCATGGGAAGCTGCTGTGCTGAGGGCCAGAGGCAGAGGCAGGAGAGAGAGACCGAAGATGAAGCTGCCTCCAGCAAGGAGGGCGTTTGCCGTGCACGCTGCCAACCCGGGTTCAAAACCCGGTATCCCACAGGGCCCCCTCCCCAGCCCCCCAGGAGTGATCCCTGAGCACAGAGTCAGGAGGGTAAGCTCTGAGCACCGCCAGGTGTGGCGCAAAAACCAAATTAAGCAAAGCAAAAAAACAAAAACAAAAAAACTCTTAATGAGAGAGAGAGAGAGAGAGAGAGAGAGAGAGAGAGAGAGAGAGAGAGAGAGAGAGCGAGCAATGGGGAGGGAGCAGAAGGGAGAGGAAGGGAAACCCACAGGCCTGGTGGGGACAATACTGGAGGGCAGAGGCCATGTGGGGAGCCCTGAGCGGCAGCTGCATCTCGCGTGGGGGTGGGCACCCGACCCCATCACCCTGCGTCCCAGGACAGAACCCCACCCTGAGGGCTCACTTGCTGAAGAAACGGTGAACAGGCGTGTGGGCCGCAGCTGGAAACTGCCCCTGAGTTGGGGATGGGGAGCTGTGAGGAAGCCCCCGGAGAGGGAAAGGGAGCAGACGCAGAGCCCAGAGCCCAGATCCCTTTGCTGCCCCTTCCCGGCACTTTTTGGTCTGGCTGGACACACTATGCCGTGTGTGTGTGTGTGGGGGGCTGGTCCTGCCGGTCACCCCTAAGGGTGCAGGGGACAGGACTCCTGAGTTCTCCATGCAGCCGGCACAGGCTCCCTAGGGACCCCTTCTTGGTGTGTCGGGGGAACAGGATGTTGGGGGATGCCCCCGAGAAAGGCCAGGGGCCTTAGAACTAAGAATGCACCTGTAGACATGCATGCCTGGCCAGCGGAGGGTCCTCTTCACTGATCTGCGCCCCACTTTCCAGAAGCCTGTGGAGGGGACAGAGAGGATGAACCCCACCTATGAGGAGTGGCAGGAAGTAAGGAGGCGCACGGACAAACCCAGTGAGACAATACCCACTCCCCTGCACACACAAAACCTGGGATGACTCTCGGCTCTGTGCTCAAGGCTCTGGGCCAGTGCCCCAGCCCAGGCCCCTGCCTCTAGATCCTGAGCGTGCATCTGCCAGAACAGAGGTAGAACCTTTCAGAGGCAGCGGCAGTAGGCGGCAGACTTCGTATCTCAAATAAAGCAATGGGGTATCCTCAGCATGGCTGTGAAGCGCCCCAAACTGCACTGGGGCCCCTCCAAGCAGTGCTGGGGAAGGAAGAGGGAGCCTGGTGCACCCCTACCCCCCAGGGGACAGATGATCAGCATGCAGGGTCAGAGTTCCCGTGACAAACGGTCATGTGAGACTGGGAAGAGAGCCATACCACAGTTTCCTCCTAGGTTGCAGGGTTCCACTTAGAAAGTGAGGCTTGGGGGCAGGAAGCCAGACTGAGGGGCTGAGGGAGTCCACTGTCCACCCCACGTGGAAACAACCAGGCTTAGGGGACAGCGAAGAGAAGGGGTGGAGTGTTCCAAAGACTCTGACTCTGTTTCTTTCGCTTGGGTCATACCCAGCGACGCTCAGGTTACTCCTGGCTCTGTACTCAGGATTCAGTCCTGGCGGTGCTCGGAAGACCATATGGGATGCCGGGGATCAAACTTGGGTTGGCCACACGCAAGGCAAACCCCCTACCCGCTGTACTATTGCTCTGGCACCCCAAGGAACCTTTTTTGAGGCACCAGCACACATATCACCCCAACTACCTTGGAGAGGTCCTCTGTGTGATGCCAGGATCTTTTCTTGGTTTTGGGGTCACACCCGGCCATGCTCAGGTGTTTTCCCTCACTCCTGGCAGTGCTCAGGGGACCCCACGGGTGCTAGGGACTTAACCCCAGTCAGCCGCGTCCACGAAGGGAGCCCTCCCTGCTGTGCTATTGCACCGGCCCCCGTGCTGCCAGATCTGATATTGGGCTGGAAAAGGCTCATTCGTTTGAACATGGAAACAGTCTCTGGGGTGAGGGCGAGGAAGAGAGAGGGAACTGGGGTTCCAGCTACTATCCTGAATGTGGCCAACCCGAGTTTGAAGCTGGCAGCCCTGGGTCCCTTGCACACTACCACTGTAGTCAGGGAGACTCCCAGAGCATCACCAGGGGTTAGTTTGAGCAGAGATTGGAGAAGCCCTGGAAAACCACTAGGGGGCACTGTTAAGCCGAGAGCTAGGAATAGTCCCACAGCACAACCAGGGGGCACTCCTGAGTGGAGACAGGAGCCCCAGAGCACCACAAGGAATGGTCCCAAGTCTTCCTCTGCACCCCCAAAAAGTGTGAGGCCCTGGGTCCAAGCTCCACTCCCCAAACTAAAGGACGTAAGAGTTACATGAGACTTTTCTGTCCCTCTTCAGGCCCCCAGAGAACTGCAGGCAAGCCCCTTCAATCAGGGTTGGGGTGCACATCTCATGGGGGTGGGGGGTGTCCTGTGGGCCTCTGTCCAGGGAACAGACTCTCCGCTTTACCTCTGTTGTCCTGTGTCCCTGCTGCTCTCTTAAGAGAGCCAAGAGGCAGCTCTGGGGCTCAGCTCACACTGGCAAAGGTGCTTTGCACATAGAGGCCCCTGGGAGCTTCTTTGAATCTGGGCTTTTGCTTGATTAATTTAGGGTTTGGGATTTGGGGCTATTCCAGGTGGGGCTCAGTCCTGGCTCTGCGCTCAGTGATCACTCCTGGCTCTGCGCCCAGGGTCACTCCTGGCAGTGCTTGGAAAACCCTATGGAGTATCACGGCTTGGCCCTGGGCTGGCTGCATACAAAGCAAATGCCTCCTCCGCTGTCCTTTCTCCCTCGCGCCCACTTCATTTCCCCCATCAGATGTACCTGTTCCCTGCCTCAGGCCCCAGGGGCATCTGCCGTATCAGAGCAGAACATGCTGTTCCTTTTGCACAGCCGGTGCCCAGGTTGCCCAAGGCTGCCTCTTGTGAGACCTGTCTCCTACAGGACCCTTGGAGCCATGTTCCCACGCTATGCACGTAGGGGCTAACAGGCTGAGGGGGTGGGGCGGGAGGCGCACATGGGACTCGCCTGCAGGAGCCTGGGGGTCCAGTCGTGCACCAGTCTCAGGGGTCCCCTAGAATATGGTCCCCTCCATCCCCTACCTCCCAAAGTAGAGGAAAGAGGCGGTGTCCGCCATGATGGCAGCTTTCAGCTGGGTACCTGGGTGACTCCTCAGAAAGCTGCCCCTGCAGTAGGTTCAGTTTCTGCACATGGCGCCTGCAGTCGGCTCCTGAGCCCTCGCCGTAGGTCTGACACCCAGAAAGGATAGAGGTCACCACAGCTGCAGAGAGGTCAGGTCTGGGACAGACACCGTGGGGAAGGGGCCCATCCTGCATGCGGCCAACCCAGGGACTGGCACAGCACCTCCTAGGACCTCCCACTCCTGGAGGCCCACCAGGAGTGATCCCTGAGCACTGGGCCAGGAGTCAGCCCTGAGCAGGGACCCAGAGTGATCCCTTAGCATAGAGCCAGGTCTCCCCACAGAGTGATCCCTGAGCCCAGAGTCAGGAGTGAGCCCTAAACTCAAGAGTAAGGAATGGGCCCAGAGCCAGGAGTGAGCCTTGAGTAGAGTCAGGTGTGATCCCTGAGCACAGAGCCAGGAGTCAGCGCTGAGCAGAGTCAGGAGTGATCCCAGAGCACTGCCAGATGTGGGTCCCACCTCCCCCGTTGAAAGAAAAGAACAAGAATCCAGCAGAGATACTATCTATTGCAGTGCTTCTCCACGGGTCCTAAGGATATTCTGGGGGGTGGCCACTGGGGTACATCACATCGGGGGCTGGCACAGGGCAAGAGGTACCAATGTGTAGGACGGAGGTAGACAGGGAAGAAGCCTGGAGGAAGGGGAATTGTGGCCTGAGAGAGGCAGAGAGACAAAAGGGCATAGGAAGGGCCCCCGCTGGGTGCTGGCGCTTTAGGATTCACCCTCAGAAATGACTGCTTCTCCCCACATGCTTTGCAGGTCCACTTCCGGCTCTTCGTTACCTATAAGGACACCAAGACATGAGGGCTCAAGTTACTGCTGCCCACAGGCAGAAAGGGTCAGTAGTAAACACTTTAGTGGGGGCTGGAACAATGTACAGTGGAGCCTTGTCCTATCCATGGCTGAACAGGGTTGAGTACCAACATCCCAGGGTCTACCAAGTACTACCTGGGATCCTGGGTCAGGAGAAAACCCTGAGCATGGTGAGGTGTGGCCCAAAAACCAGAAATAATAATAATGATGATGATGATGCAAAGGTCTAAGAGAATCCCCGGTGGAAAGTTCTCTGGTTTTAGGCCAAACCCATTTATTTATCGATTTATTTAATTAGGCTTTAGGGTCACACTCATTTGTGCTCAGGGTTGACTCCTGCCTCTGCACTCAAAAATCACGCCTGGAGCAGGCTGGAGAGGACCCTATGAGGTGCCAGGGATTGAACATGGGTTGGCCCTACCTGCTGGACTATCGCTCCAGGCCCAGGCCAGACCCGTTTGTGCTCAGGGTTGACTCCTGACTCTATGCTGAGGGATCACTCCTGGCAGTGATCAGGGACCCTCTGTGATACTGGGACTGTAATAGTATAGTAGGTAGCACACTTGCCTTGCATGTGGCCAACCCAAGTTTGACTATCAGCATTGGATATGGTAGGTATCATATATGGTACCCAAGCATCACTAGGAGTTACCCCTGAGCATCAACAGCTGTGGCCAACCAACCAACCAACCAACCAACCAAAGAACTGGGAGGGTCTCTCCAGCTCCTCAGCATCTATTTAACAGCACGTGGGGCCAGAGTGGATGGGACATTTGCCTTCCATGTGCCTGACCCAGGTTCAATCTCTGGTATCCCATAGAGTCCCCGAGTGATTCCTGAGCACAGAGCTGGTAGTCAGACTTGAGCATTGCTAAGTGTTACCCCAAAACCAAAAAAAAAAAAAAAAGCATGAAGCACAGGCAGCTGAGCCTGTTTTGCCATCAGGAGACCTGGGCTTCCCTGATAGTACCGCTGGGTGCCCCAAACCAAGCCCCTTTGGGCTCTTGATAGATTTGTAAGAAATGCTTTTTGATGCCCACTGACAGAAGGATGATCGAGAAGTTGTGTATTTGCACAAGGGAATGCCATGTGACCAAATGGATGATGATATCACATTTAAGCGACCAGAGAGATGGCACAGTGGGTAGTACCCTTGCTGTGCTCACGATCAACCCAGGTTCAATCCCTGTCAACACAGAGGATCCCCAAACCCCACAGGGAATGATCCCAGAGTGCAGAGCCAGTAGTCAGCCCCGTGACAGCTGCATGTGGCGCAAACTCTTAAATCAATCAACCTGAGGAGTGGAACGGAGGCATGAGAACAATGGCATGGGCTTGGAGTTGGAATGCTGGAGGCTAAACACAGATGAGCAACTCTGCCAAGGAGGGGGAAGTTGCTCTCTGCAAAGGGCCTTGCTGAGGGCTCTTGCCTTGCATGTGGCCAACCAAGTTTGACCCAAGCACCCTTAGGGGTCCCAGGGCATTGCGAGGGCAATCCCCGGGCCGTCAAGAGGAAACTCTGAGCACCACTGGGTGTACCCACCACCCAAAGGACGCTTCTGGATCTTTGATTTCAGACTTAACTGGAGCACGGGCAGGGCCCTCTCTCCAGTGAGATCTTCATTCACTGCCAACTCCTAGGGCAGTCCGGACCCTTGCAGCCTCCCCTCAGCCCACCCCCTGCAGCGAGTGAAAAACATTTCTGAGCCTCTTAAATCAGCCTCTGCTGCTTGAGCATCCTCTCTCCTGCCTCTCGGATGCAGGTTGGGGGCTCTCCTGACTGTGTCCATCCTTCCTGGGCTCGGGTTCACTCCCACTGTGCTTGCAGGGTCTGTGCCCGGGGCTGGCCCACGGCTCATCCCACCCGGGCTCAGAGGATCCTGAGTGGGGACAAGGTTGGAAGCTGCGAGGCGCGTCTTGTCCTCTTCCCAAAGGCCTCGAGTCTTTCCCTCAGAACTATCCTTAGCGCGCGGGGAGTCGCCTCGCAGGCGGGCTCGGGTCCGAGCTTCGGCACCTGCGAGTACCCTGAGCACCGTGGGGTGAGTCCTGAGCAGGGCAGGGGCGAGCCCCAACACACACACACACACACACACACACACACACACACAGACTCTCGTACTCACACGTCCCCCCCCCCCCCAGCCCCGGGCAGACCCCGGGAAGGCCGCGCGGGCCCGACTGCTGGGGCCGGGGCTGGGCGACCCCCGGAAAGCGGCTTCTAAAACGCAATTTCCTCCGCATCTGAAACAAGAAGGCGCCTCTGGGCGGGTTCCGTTCCGCGGAAAGGGCGAGCCACGACCCGCTGCCAAGTCCCCGCTTCCGGGAGACCCCGAGCCCAGATCCTACGGCTCCTGGCACGCCGCGGGGAGCCGAGACCCCTACGGAGACGGCCGGCCACAGAGGCCCGGCGGGGTCCCTGCTTCGCCCGAGCGACCGGGCCGCCCACCTGCTGCGCCTGGAAGAGGCGACACGAGAAGCACCGCAGCACCCGAACGCGCTGAGGCATGGCAGCGGCGGTGCCCGCGCCTGCGCAGAGCGTCCGGGCGGTCTCGGCCCCGCCCCCGAAAGCTCCCGGGCCCCGCCCCCGGAAGCGCGCTTGCTTTTATGGGCCGGGAAGCGCCTGGCGATAAAGGGCTGCGGCCCGCCCCATCCGCCTGGGAGCTGCTCAATAGCGCCCAAACCGTCCGGAGTGCGCATGCGCCCAGGATGCGCCCCGCGCTCGCACTGACTCTAGTGGTCCGCTGAACTATCTAGTCCGCGGAAGTATCAGGAGTGGTCCGGTCGTGTGATTAGCTCTACCCTTCCTGGGCGCTCTTCCCGTAGCCCTCCGCCCGCCGCCCTAAATGCTCTGTGCGCCTGCGCTTTGGGGCCTTAGGGCTGCCCTACCCCGGCAGGCGGCCGGCCTTGCCTGCTCCCCAGCTGCTCAGACGCACTGCTTTTTTGTTTTTTTTCTTTTTGGGTCACACCATGCGATGCTCAGGGTTGCTCCTGCGTTACACTCAGGGATCCCTTCTGGCGGGCTCGGGGGACCCTATGGGATGGAACCCGGGCCGGCAGTGGACAGGCCTGTCGCTCCGGCGCCTCACAGGCTCTTGGTCCCGGCCGGTTCCCGCCGCCCCCGGGCTCGGGGCTGCTCCGCTTCCGGTTTCTGTCCCTCGCACCGGCGTCGGGGCAGGAACCGGGCGGTGCCTGAGCCCGGGCTGCGGCTCTGAGTCTTTCTGGTGACGTAACTGAGCCGTGTGTCCCTCTGGGCCGTGGCAGGCAGTTCACCTTTGCTCTCTGACGTCGTACGGGAGGCGGAGGAGCAGGTTTCCAAGTCTCACTCCGCGGAAGGACTATCAGAATCTTCTCTTTGAGGGGGAACGTGGCGCATCCCTTTGTGCCCAGGGTTTACTGCTGGCCCCGCGGTCTGGGTCACTCCTGGTGGGGCTCTGAGAACCGTGTGTGGTCCCGGGGATCGATTATGGGTCGGCTACGTGCAACGCACGCAGTCTCATCTCTGTACGATTGTTTGGGCCCCAAAACCCTTAATCTTCACATTTACCAACTGTTGCTCCATTCCCCTGAGCCAGAGCGTCGAGCAAACTGCTTTGGGAAATGCAAATGGTAACAGTAGACCTTAATGTTAGAGGATGCTGGGGGTGGGGTGGGGATATATACACATTTCGTTTTTACCAAGGGAATAGCTAGTATGACCAGGCTTATGATCTGTACAATGCTCATCACTGACTTTTCCCCTCACACCAAAGAATCAATGTCAAATTGGTGCTGGGTTGCCATTGGCCCTGCCGATGACCTCTAGCTAATAACATTAAGCAAAGCATGTATGTGGAGGGCCTCCGGAGGGGCCACAGTGGAGCCAGCAAGACGGGATTAAATCAGGCACAGATGGAGATGAAGCCCCGGGAAAACCGAAGTAGTAGATGCTGCTGCCAAATCTGTCTTGTCCATCCCCCCACCCCCATGAACAACATTGGGGGGACAATGTTTGGCCCAGGCCTCCACCTGGCAATCATCCCATTCTACACTCTGGAATTTTTCCAGTTTGTAGTTGGGCCACACCCAGTGGTGTTCAGGATTTACTCCTGGATCTATGCTCAGGGATCACTCCTGGCAGGGTTCAGAGGACAATATAGGGTGTCCTGGATCAGCCCAGAACAGTGTCCACGTTTTTGCTTTTGTTTTTGGGTCACACCCAGAAATGCTCAGGGGTTACTCCTGGCTCTGCCCTCAGGAATTAATCCTGGCTGTGCTCAGGAGACCCAAACGGATGCTGGGGATTGAACTCAGGCTAGCCGAGGGCAAGGCAAACGCCTTATCTGCTGTTTTATCGCTCAGGCCCCTAAGATGAACATTTTGTATTAGGTTGCTGTGTTCCCTGATAGGTCTGCTTATATAAGACCTAGTCAAGTGATACATTTGAACATCAACCCAGATATTGCCCCGTTATCTTAGTCTCCTCTGAGTACAAGCCTGGGGCAGAATTTATGATCTCAGAAAATGATGATCTTCCTCTATCTCAGAGTCCATGAATTTCCAGGAACTAATTTACTATTGTCACTGTCACTGTCCTCCCGTTGTTCATCGATTTGCTCGAGCGGGCCCATAACATTGTGAGACTTGTTACTGTGTTTCGCATATCGAATATGCCACAGGAAGCTTGCCAGGCTTTGCCGTGTGGGCAAGATACTCTTGGTAGCTTGCCAGGCTCTCCGAGAGGGGTGGAGGAATCGAACCCGGGTCGGCCATGTTGACTGCTTGCAAGGCAAACGCCCTGCCCGCTGTGCTATCGCTCCAGCCCAATTTACTATAAGTATTTACTTTTCAGAATTTATTTTTAATATGTGTTGGGTTTGAGGCCACACCTGGTGGTGGTAAGGCCGCTGGCTTTGCACTCAGGGATCATTCCTGACGATATACCACCATGGGACTCTGGTACCAGGGACTGAACCCAGATGAGTTGGTGACGGTTCGAGGCATGTGACCTACACATTATCCAGTGCCATCTGCAGGCATGTTTATTTTATTGGATGATTTTGTTTTGCTTTGTTTTTTTTTTGGCCACACTCAGAGTTCAGGGGTTACTCTGACTAGTGGAGGGCTCAGGATGCCAGAAATCAAACTCAGTGGTTGCATGCAAGGCAAGCACCCTCCTTGCTGTGTTATGACTAAGTCCTGCAGGTATGGTCAGTCTGTAGAATGGTCAATTCCAGTGGAACAGTTCACTGCAGCTGTGCTCGGGAAACTGAGGCTTCCTTTCTCAAACTTTAGTTTTAGTTGGGGGGGTGTGGGAAATCACACCAAGGGTGCTAAGGGGCTAGTTTCTGAGGTGCTTTGGGACCCTTCGAAGTTCCTGGGATGGAACCAAGTTCCATCTCATGCAAGACAAGTGCCTTACCCTGTCACACCATCCATGTGGCCCGGCTGTTAGGATGCATTTCACCTGTGAGTGAAGTTTAAATGCTCTGAGATACAGCTGGCCACAATCTTGAGCACAGCAGAGCATGTATGTGGAGGGCCCTCGGAGGGGCCACAGTGTAGCCAGGGGAGGCAGAGGGCCAGCTTCAGCGCAGATGGGGGGTGGTGTAAGAGGTGGGGCCAGCTAGGAGCACATAAATGCAGAAATCCCCAGGACCACTGACCTGCCTAATAGCCTTTCCCCAATCCAGCATACCGATCCCCGCCCCCCCCAGGACATCCACGTTCTCTACAGCAGACTGGATTCTCTTTCTTCAGACTTCCTGTGTCATCCCCACAACCTCCAGTTGGGGGTTTGGGCCACATTCAGTGGTGCTATTACTAGCTCTATGCTCAGACGCGCCTCCTGCTGGTGCTCGGGGGATCATTTCTTTTTTTTTTTTAATTTTTTTTTTATTTTTTAAATTTTTAAAATTATTTATTTGATTTTTGGGTCACACCCAGCGATGCACATGGGTTACTCCTGGATCTGCACTCAGGAATTACTCCTGGCGGTGCTCAGGGGACCATATGGGATGCTGGGAATTGAACCTGGGTCGGCCACGTGCAAGGCAAATGCCCTACCCGCTGTGCTATTGCTCCAGCCCCTCAGGGATCATTCTTAATTCCTGGCAGCATGGAAGGCCACATGGAAATTCCCAGAACCACAAAAGCAAGTGCCTAACAGCCTCTCCCCAAGGCAGCAGTTTAGACCCTTTAGACACTTTAGCAGCACGGGTCTGCCAAGTACCCCCATAGTCTTTACAGCAGACTTGGTCCTCATCATTTATGCTTCCTTCTTAAGAGTGGAGTATTGGCCATGGCTTGGAGGCCAGCCGCACACTCTAGTGGTAAAGGCGGCTCAGATAGAGAAGGGAGCACCAAATAAAGGGTGTTGGGAGGATCCTCCCAGGATGGGAGATGCATGCTTGAAAGTAGACTATAGACCGAACATGATTGCCACTCAATGCCTCTCTTGCAAAACACAGCACCCAAAAGGAGAGAGAGCAAAAGGGAATGCCCTGCCACAGAGGCAGGGTGGGATGGGGGGGTTGGAGGGTGGGAGAGCTACTGGGATCGGTGGTGGTAGAAAATGGGCACTGGTGGAGGGATGGGTACTCGATCATTGTACAACTGAAACCCAAGCACAAAAATTTGTAAGTCTTCAACTGTACCTCATGGTGTTTCACTAAAAAAAAAAAAAAAAAAAAAAAGGAGTGGAGTATTGGGCCACATCCAGAGGTAATCAGGAGCTAATCCTGGTGGTATGCTCAGCAGCACCCCCTGGTGGTGCTTGAGGGATATTGCTGGCTCTTTGCTCAGGAGTGACGCTGTGGGTCCTTGGGGGAATCTATATGGGGTGCCAGGGATTCCAACCAGCATAGGCCACTTGCCAGGCAAGAGCCTTAATTCCTGTTGCATGTCTCGGACACAGGAGTTCCCTTTGTTTTATATTTGTCTTCACTTCAGGATCAACATAGCAAGCCATACTGAGGTTTTTTTTTTTTTGGGGGGGGGGTCACACCCAGCGGTGCTCAGGGCTTACTCCTGGTTCTGCACTCAGGAATTACTCCTGGCAGTGCTTGGGGGAACCATATGGGAAGCCGGGGATAGAACCCGGGCTGGCTGTGTGCAAGGCAAACGCCCTCCTCGCTGTACTATCCAGCCCCAAATCTTGATATTTTGTAGGTGGTCTTTGTAATGACAAATAAGCTGAATGTAATGAGAATTATGAAACGGTAATGTAATGAGAACTAGGACACTAAAATCAACCCCAAGCTCAGCCAGGGATGGAAGGGTTTTTAATCTGTATGCTCCTAATCTGGAAGAAGGGCTGCCAGAGGCGCAGGAGAGCACAGGCCCCCAGATTTAGGGGATGCCTGGGAGTGGCACCTGAAGCTCATGACAAACGGGCAAGAGACACTGACACAGACGTTTCTTGTTCTTTTTGGGTACCTGAAGGCTGGGAAAGATGTTTCACTTTTTTTCTTTTTTGTAGGTTATAGCTCACTCTTAGACAAGAAAAAAGATCCTCTCAGCAGATGGGACTCCAAGGCTCTTTCTCTTCTGACGGGGTCCTCAGCCCCGAGCTTCTAATAAACCCACTATCTAATCCTTAGCTGTCTCTCTCTCTCTGCTCTTTCACAGCTCGTGTCAGCAAAACAATCTTTATTTCCAAGGTGATTTATCAGGGCTGAAAGCAGGGACAACATCAGCCATGGAAGTTTGATGGGTGATGGAAGGAGAAGCAATATTTATTCAAGGGACTTGTGGCTGAGTTATAAAGTTTAAATAGGGCTAGAGAGATAGTAGCACTGTGGCACTGTCCTCCTGTTGTTCATCGATTTGCTCAAGCGGGCACAAGTAATGGCTCCATTGTGAGACTTGTTACTGTTTTTGGCATATAGAATATGCCACTGGGAACTTGCCAGGCTCTGCTGCACAGGCAGCATAATCTCGGTAGCTTGCCGGGCTCTCCGAGAGGAATCGAATCCAGGTTGGCTGCGTGCAAGGCAAATGCTGGTAATGCGCTTGCTTAGTAGGCAGTTGACCTGAGTTCAATCCCCTGCATCTCTTCAGAGAGGAGGAGGAGGAGGAGGAGGAGGAGGAGGAGGAAGGTCAGCAAACACATGGATTCAGTATCTTTTCTACTTTTTTATTATTTTGCAACAAACAGGTGATCTTTTAAAAATCCAGATAAGTTTATTTTTTTCCCCTTGGGAATGATAAGGACTTGAACAGTTTGATGCAACTTCCACTTGGCAAGTGAGTAGTTTCAAAATTTGCATTTTTGTTCACAGAGTAAAAATATATTTAAAATATCACTAGAGTCATTTATTCTTCTGGGCCAACATTTTGCATATTAGCTCAGGTTGCATGATGAACTGGTGAGCATATGACTATGAACATTTGTACAATATTTTACTAAATGAAAAGGCAAGATACTCATTTGCATTCTTTTGTATTTCTTTGGTATATTTTCAAATTTCTATATCAGAGGCATATAAAATATTGATTCAAATTCAAGTTATTGAATTCTTTCTATTCAATGAAACACGAGGCTTGGGGGGGGACATCCACACCCGGTGCTGCTCAGGGGGTCCTCCCAGCCCTGAGCTCAGAGGTCAATGCTGGCAGGGCTGCAGAGCACCATGAGATGTTGGGGGGCCAAGGCAGGAGCTCTACCCTGTATTTCTATCCCATGACCCAACCTAAAGCATTTGGTTTGCTTTTTTTTTTTTCAGGAGAAGATACCTTAATCCATTTTTTTTTTTTTTTGGCTTGTTGGGTCTCATCCTGTGATGCTCAGGAGTTATTCCTGGCTCTGCACTCAGGAATACTCCTCATGGTGGTGCTCAGAGGACCATATATGATGTTGGGGACCAAACCTGGGTTGGAGGTGTGCAAGGCAAATGCCCTACTTGCTGTACTATCACTCCAGCCCCAGGGTTTGTTAGTCTTAGGTGTCCATTTTCTTCTAGCCAGAAACAGGTCCTGTAATGAATTCTCAGCAATCAGGGAAAGTGGGCAGAACAATTGGTATAAATAGTGGGAAGGACGCTGACCCATATTAATGACTTGCCCCCCCACCCCTTGATATAAAACTTACTACTCAAGATCCCACAGGCCTAGAAGTTGTAGCCAAGTTAACATTGTGGATCCCATTTTTCAAATCACCCATTAAAGTATCTAAAAAACAGGAAGTACAGAGCACTGCGAGGGCCCCACTGCTGGAAGTGAAATACAAACAAAAAGATCGAGAGGCCTGAGCAGGCACAACTGGTTTTGATCTCTGGCACCCCATAGGGACCCCCAAGCCCACCAGGAGTGATCCCTGAGCACTGCCGGGTGAGGCCCCTGCCCCCCCCCCAAAAAAAACCCGGAAACATGCACTGGGGTTGCCAGTCCCTCAACTCTGGAAAGGGCTAAATCCAACCCTGAGGCAGGCAGGTGAATTTCACGTCTGCTTCCTGTCACTTTCTTAAGTACTTGAAAACCCAGGCACTTGGTGGCCTTGGGGACACGGCACTCATATGGGCGAAGGCCCCAGGCTAACAGATTCCACCCCCGACCCCCCCACAGGTATCTCTGAGTCCCCCGGAGGGCCCTGAACCCTCCCGGGTGGGGACCCCCAAATGAAAACAGACCCGGGGCTGGAGTCCAGCCAGTGAATCCTGTGCCTTCTTGGCTCCTTTAACAATGAGGTCCCTCCATAAAGCTGGAGAGTCCTTGACGGGGCAGGCTCCCCTGCGGACCCCTGCCGCCCCAGCCCTAGCTGGCAGCTGTGAGGGGCTTCTCCAGGCACGCCTGCTTCTGTGCCCCCGCCCCCAAATCTGGCTCCCTGAACCCGGTGTCCACCTGGTGGAATGAGGCCACCAAGCTGGGAGGAACCGAGGGCAGGGTCTGCGGGAGAAGCTGGGGTCTGGGCGGGACGGGCTCGGGCACCAATGGGTGCGTTTAGCTCCTGGGTTTATTGAGGAACGTTGAGCAGCGAGGCCGGGGCAGCTGATGTGAGTTGGGGCAGGTCGGGCCCTCAGGAGTGAGCGCTCGGCAGCTGAACTCTGGCCCTGGGAACACTCGGTGCCCCCGCTTTGCAGACACGGTCGCCCGCCCAGTACCTGGACACCCCCGGAGTGAAGGACCAGGCAGGGGGCAAGCTGAGGCGACAGAGAAGGGCCACTGTCCCACTGGGGGAGGTTGGAGGGGGTGGAGTGGGTCGGGACTTCAGCCAGAGCCTCCGTACTGCTCTGAGGGGTCACTGCTGGTGCTGACCTGCCGGTCCACCTTTTTCTGCTCCTGGATCTTGGTGCCCAGGTCCACCCGCTTCTCAAAGAAGGTCACCAGTGCCGGCTCGGTGAGGATGGACGCCAGGATCTGCTCAAATGAGATGCACCAGTCCCCGTCCACAGTGCCCTGGGCCCGCCCTGCCCCGTCCACAGTGCCCTCGGCACGCCCTGCTCTCTCCACGGCGCCCTTGGCCCGCCCTGCTCCGTCCACGATGCCCTCGGCCTGCCCTGCTCCGTCCACAGCACCCTCGGCCCTCTCTGCCCCATCCACGGCGCCCTGGGCGATCGTTGTCTCCTCCACAGCGTCCTCGGCCCTCACCACCCTGTCCATGGTCCCCTCAGCGCCGGTCACTGTTGCCACCCCCTCAGGGTCCGGCTCCCCGGTTACAAGCACGGGATCCTCTGCCAGATCGTCACAGGGCAGTGAGCCGGAGCTCACCACCGAGAAAGACGACACAGACAGATCGTCCTTGGTGTCCTCGTCCCAGAGAGGCGATGGTGGGAGGGGTGGGGACAAGCCCCCTCGGCCCTCGCCTTCGCCCCCCTCCCCTACTCCCTGGCTCTCAGGCGGGGCCTTGTGAGCGTGGCTGTCCCCACCAGCTTTGGCAGGCGGGTCCCTGGTGGCCTCCACGGTGGTGGGCTCGTGATGGGCCTCCTTCTCCTCTGCCTCTGGGCTGTCTTCCAGGCTCTTCCGGCCTGAGGAACCCGACCCCGCGGAGAACCTCTTCCCCACTTCGCCGATGCGCAGCAGCAGGCTGGCCACCGTGGCGATGGCGTGGTAGAGCTCCTGCTCGCGGGGGTCCTCGCTGAACATGTTGTACAGGGTCTTGCACAGCTCAATGAACTGCTCCTGTGGGGGTACAAGGCCCTGCTCGGTCCCCGAGTCTCCGCACCCCGCTAACCCCGATCACCACGCTCCCGGAGGGTCTGACGCTGCGGGCCCGTGACTCTGGGATCAAATTCTGGGCCTCGCACCCCACAGGGGGCAAACACCCAAGCACCTCTCAGTAGCTCTGGACCCTGTGGGTGCGGGGGTTTGCAACTCTTCCTCAGCATCAGGCTCAGCTGGCGGCAGGGGGTCCTCCTGAGAGTAAGCTGCAGCTACAGCTCACCACTTCTGGGGTGTTTTCTTTCTTTCTCTTTTGTTTAGAGTTGGGGTTCGAGGGTGCTGATGATTGGGTCGTTGCTCTTCTGTTTACTGCCAACCACAAGGCCCTGAAACCCTGCCTGAGTGGGCAAGTGGGGCTTGTTCTGTACCTTCCAGAAGGGCCCTGGCTGTAGTCTCAGAGCCCTGGCTGCAGGCTCAGAACCTTCCAGAAGGGCCCTGGCTGAGGGTTTGGAATCCTCTTGAAGGGCCTCACTGTGAGCTCAGAACTTTCTAGAAGGGGCCAGGTTCTGGACTCACCTGGTTCATCTTGGGAAGATCCTTGATGGTCTCCTTCTGGGCCTCCTTCTCCTTCGCCCACATTCGCAGGTAATGGCGGTAGTCAGGAGGGCTGGTCCCCTTGTCCTCTATGGGGAGGAAAGAGAGTGAGCAGGAGAGGGGGCAGAGCAGTGGGGGGGTCCCCTATGTCTCCCCTCAGCTGATGATACCCCACACCACAGCAGAGGAAAGCAGGGGGCTTTAGGGGGCCTGGGGAGGCTGGGAGGTCAGGGGTGCTGGAGCCCCACTCCGGGAGAGTGGGCGCAGACACTTAGGGTGCTCAAAACTGAGTACGGTGGTTGTGGCAAAATTTTTTTGGGGGGAACGGGGTTGTTGGGTCACACCCTGCAATACTCAGGGTGCTCCTGGGTCTGTGCTCAGGGATCACTCCTAGTAGAACTCAGGGGACCCTATGGGGTGCTGGGGACTGAACCTGGGTCTGCTGTGAACAAGGCTAGCACCTTCGTCTCTGTCCTAGCTCTTGTAGCTCTCGGGCCCTGAAGTAAGTTTATGATTTATTTGCTTTTTGGGTCACACCCAGCGATGCTCAGGGGTTACTCCTGGCTTTGCACTCAGGAATTACTCCTGGTGGAGCTCGGGGGACCATATGGGATGCTGGGAATCGAACCCGGGTTGGCTGCATGCAAGACCCTACCCACTGCACTATCGCTCCAGCCTGATTCATTTATGTATTCTGCTGGATTGATAACACAGCAGGTAGGGCGTTTGCCTTGCATGAGGCCGACCCGGGTTCGATTCCTCCGTTCCTCTCAAGAGAGTCTGGCAAGCTCCCAAGAGTATCCCACCCACATGGCAGAGCCTGGCAAGCTCCCCGTGGCGTATTCGATATGCCAAACACAGTAACAAGTCTCACAATGGAGACCTTACTCGTGCCCACTCAAGCAAACTGATGAACAGGAGGACAGTGCTACAGACAAGACAGTGCCTGTCTGTGCTACATTTACTGAGTTTGGGGTCACTACCAGCAGAGCTCAGGGCTGACTCTGACTGTGCTCAGGGCTCACTCATGGTGAGGCTTGGGAGACATTCGTGGTCCCTGGGATCCCGACAAATGCCTAACCCTTAACCTTCAGCTCGCCACCCCCTTTGTGACCTATAAGGCCTATTTTCCATTTCTCTGGGTTTTTGGAGGTGGGGGGCATTGTGTGTGTGTGTGCATGAAAGGCCTAAAAGTGGGTGGCAAGTTGGAAAAGTCAAAGGAGCCTGGGTCTCCTGCCCTGCACCCTCATTTCCCAGGTACTTTCTGGCCAGAACCCCGCTTCTGTCCTGGTTTCCTGTGACCTCGCCCTAAGCTGCAGGCGGGAGGGGCCCTGGAGGCGATGCTCACTTGTACCCCCCTTGGAATTTCCTGGGGGATACCCCAGCTTTCCTGAGGGTGCCCCTGGAGTAAGCAATGCAGGGTCAGGCTGAGGGAGGGTTCCCACACCACTTCCCATCGTCCCTTACCAGTCCCTGGGGAGTCCTGGCGGGGTCTGCCCCCTTGTCTCTCCCCCGCGTCCTCTCTCGGGATCCCCTTGTGCTGGCTCTCCTGTAAGGCTCCTGTGGGAAAGACGCATAGAAGGTGTCACAGTGTCAGACCACGGCTGTCCCTGCAGGGCTTTTGTTCATTTCTGGGTAGTGTCCAGACCGGATTTCTAGCTCCCAGGGGTGGCCCTGGGAATGGGCAGTGTAGTGTCCAACAGGGGGCAGCCTGGGGCTCTCTCAGGCCAGACTCTGGTGCAGAGTCAGGAGGTGGAGAGGCGAAAAAGGTCAGGGAAGGGAGGAGGGGTACAGGGAGAGGCACCCCCAGCTTCCCCACCCCACAGGCACCAGGCTCACCTTCGGGGGCGCAGTCTTGGGTGAAGTAATGGGTGGCTTCCAGGGCCGACTCGGCGTCGTCAGCACTCAGAGCTGGGCGAGGGAGAAGCAGGGTCTGGCTTGGGGTGCTGTCCACTTCCAGCTCCCGCCCAGGGGGGGTCCCGTGACTGCAGGGGCCTGGACCGGGCTGGGCCAGTGACGCTGGACGGGTCCTAAGGCTGGCACCCAGACTGCCCAGTGTCCATGCAGGACTTTCTGGAACCGGTGTCCCCACCCTGCTGCCCAGGGAGCCCAGCTCTCAGAACCACTGCGGGCAGGATTCACTGGTGAGGGAGGTGGGGACTAAGGGTGTGTGTGAATAGGGTCCTGCACCTGCCCTCTAGGCTGGCCCCTGGGGGGAAAAAAACTCTGATGACTAGAGAGAGAGAGAGAGAGAGAGAGAGAGATAGACAGACAGACAAAAAGAGGCAGAGAGAGGGAGAGAGGGAGAGGCAGAGAGGGAAGAAGGAGTGAGGCAGAGAGGAGCCAGAACCTGCCTGGCCTTGCCCATGGCCAACCCCAGTTGAGTTCCAGGCACCCCATAGGGTCCCCTGAGTACCGCCAGGAGGAATTCCTGAGCACAGAGCCAGGAGGAACCCCATGTGTGGCCAAAGAAAGCAACAACAGGGGCTGGAGAGATAGCGCAGCGGGTAGGGCGTTTGCCTTGCAAGTGGCCGACCCGGGTTTTATTCCCAGCATCCCATATGGTCCCCTGAGCACCGCCAGGAGTAACTCCTGAGTGCAAAGCCAGGAGTAACCCCTGTGCATCGCCAGGTGTGACCCAAAAAGCAAAAAAAAAAAAAAAAAAAAAAAAAAAAAAAAAAGCAACAACAAAAAAGCCCCCCCCCCCATGTCAGACTGTTGAGCAACGGAAGGGGGAAAGGATATGCACAGAAATCCCGAGTTTACCAGCCAGTGTGCACCCTGGGAACCGCTCCAGCTCCAGCCCCTCATGGGACCCAGACGCTGGGGCGGGGTCTCACCTGGGGGCAAATGCAGTTTGTACAGAGCCTTGAGCTTGTCAGTCAGGTCCCCGTGGTACATCCCGCCTGTGGAGGAGCAGGAGTGGCAACCCAGGCCAGGGCATCTTGGTCCCCCTCCAGCCCTCCTTGGTGCCCAGCCCTGCCCAGGGGGTAGGCAGGGTCTGTGGATGTGGGCGGGGCCCTGAGGTGACTGGGCGGGGCCATGCGCGGGGCGGGGCAGGGGGGCGGTGGTGCGGGCAGGATACTGCCGCGACTGGGCAGGGCCACTGGCGGTGGGCGGGATCATAGATGACTGGGTGGGGCCATGTGGGGTGTGGGCGGGACCCTGAGGTGACTGGGCGGGGCCATGCAGGGATGTGGGCGGGGTCCTGAGGTGACTGGGCGGGGCCACGCACTCATGCCAGTCACAAACTCCTTAAAGTTGATGAGGGCATCCCTGTTGGCGTCCAGCAGGCGGAACATGCGCGAGGCCAGCACAGCCGTGTGGGGGCCGCAGGCCCAGGGCGCCAGTGAGGCGAAGAGCTCGTGGAACTGGGCGCCGTCGATGCGGTACTGCTCCAGGTAGGGCAGGCTGGGGTCGCGGCGCCCCGCGGGGTGCTGGCTGCCCCCCCAGTACTGGCTCGCCAGATGCTTGGCCTGTGAGGGGGGAATGTAGGTGCCAATCAGGGCCGGAAGCAGGGTCACGAGGCAGGTGGGCCGCAGGGCAGACAGCGGCTTCCCTTCTTGGGGTATCTTCCCCCTGCTCCCCTCGTGTCTGGTAAGAACACTGAAGCTCCCTTGGGTGCCCCTGCATTGTGTGACCCTCAGCTCCCGGGCCGTACCATCAGCACCCAAAAGAGCGCATCTATCCTGAGTCTGCCCCACAGCACCAATGATGAAGGAGTGGGGAGGGCTGCTTTCGGGGGCACTGCGGGCACCCCTTCTCGCTAGCACCCGAGCCTCCAGAGAAGCCGCCCCACCCCCCACCTCCCAGGCCAAGCGGCACATGGTGCGCCTGGATGCAACCTGTCCTGAAGGTGTCTGTTCTAGATGGCTCAGTTCCTGGGCCTCTCACAGGTCCAGTTGGCCGCTGGCCTGTCTGCCTTGCAGGGTGTGCATGCTGGGCTAACTGTCCTCGACCCCCTGCAGCTGCCCCCGGGCAGGGGGCCTAGAACCGGGGCTGCCTCTGCTGTGGCGCCCACCTTGAACACCACATAGAGCTCCTCCAGCTCCTCTATGGAGAAGCCGATATCTCCAGGAATCGCTCGGACCTGGGAAAGAAGAGAAGAGATGTCTGTCTGTCTGTCTGTCTGGGCCAGTCACTGCACCTGGAGTCCACCCTCCCCTGCCCAGTCCTTGAGAGAGTCCCCGCCCACCCAAGCTCACCCCCTGCCTGGTTTCCACCACAAAGCAGCCCCATCCTTCAGGCAAGGATGTGGCCTGAGTCAGGTGGGCACTGAGGGTCGTCCTGGAGAAAACCTGGGGTAGGGAGCTCATTGGAAGGGGTTCTGGAAATGCGGTTGGGGTGGAAGGCAGGGTGGCTTGCCCGCAGAAGGCAAACCAAACAAAAAATGCTGTGGACTCATTCTAGAAAATTCCAGGACTTTCTCGCTCCAGGGGGGAGAAAGAAAGGCCCCCAGGGGCAAGCTGGGTCTTTGGGTGCTGGAGGGAGGCAGGTCCCCAGGTTGCCAGCTTGCCTTCGCTGGACAGCAGGTCCCAGTGCCCCGCCCCTACCACACTCCTCTTGGCTGTGTCTTCCAGGGACTGGATCACTTTCAGCCGCTGCTTAATCCGCATCTGCTCGATGCTTTCCGTCCGCAGACTGCTGAATTTCTACGGGACAGGAGCAGCTCTGTGAGACATGGCTTCGCCGGCCCCAGTTCCCACCCCCAGCCCCCAGGCACGGGGTGGGGTGCCTGACCTCATAGGACACTTTCAGTAAGGTGAAGATGTCCACCTGCTCGGGCGGGCTGTCCCCACTCGTCAGCAGGGCGTGAAGATGCGGGACAGGCGGGGAGATGCTCTGGCGGTTCACCACGTTGTCCAGGTACCTGAGGGGTGAAGATGCGGCCCCCGCCCGTGCGAGGTGTTCAGGAATGTCGAGCCCCCAAGGGGGATCTCAGCACAGGGATGGGTGCAAGGTAAGTCTGGGCACCTCTGTGGGCTCCGGGCGAGGGTGGGGCCGTGAAATGGGTGCCCAGGGAGGGGCAAGGGACCTCAGCCCTCGGGATCCCCTAAGCACTGGGCATGCCCCCGGCATCTGCCCACTGCAGCCCCCACCTCCTGCCAGGAGACCCCGAGCATTAACCCACAAGGAGGCCCCCACTAAACTCGATTCTCAGCCCCCCTTGGAGCTTGCCTGGCTACTGCTTTGATCAAGGTGGCAGCTTCAGAAGGGGGAGCAGCATTGCCGGGGTGGGCACCCAGGGGTCACTGCACTGCCTGGCTAACAGTGTGGGCTGGACTTGGAGGCTGCGGGGCATGGAGCTGGAGGGCAGGTGAGGGAGCAGGGGTGGGGAGGGAGGGCTGAGGGGCTGTGAGAGGGAGGGGGCCGAGAATGCTGGCTGAGGGGAGGGGCCCGGTGTGCCGGTCACCTGCCCAGGATGGTCATGGCCTCGCCCTCGTCGTGGCAGGCCAGCAGCGCCTCGGTGTTGGCGTCCAGCACGGCCAGGGCCAGCTGCAGGATGACCTTGATGCCCTCGTAGAAGAAGCAGTCGACGACCACCACGGCGCTCTCGAAGGGCATGACGCTGAGGAAGAGCGTGAGGAACCAGGACAGCGAGATGCTCGAGAGGACGCCCAGCTCCCGCAGGCGGGCCCACAGCGGCGGCAGCAGCACGCGCGTCAGCTCCTCGAAGATGCCCTGGTCCACCAGCGCCCCTGGGGGGCAGGGGGCGTGAGGGGGGCGGTGACGCGCATCAGCGCCTCCAAGTTGCCCTGGTCCACCAGCACTGGTGGGATGCTGTGCACGCGTGGTGTGTCTGTGAGTGGCGTGTATGCGTGAGTCGTGTGTGTATATGCGAGTGGTGTGTGTTTAGAAGGTGTGAGTGCTGTTTATACATGTGAATGCTACGTACATGAACGTGTGGTATGAGTGCTGTTACATGTGTGTGCAGCCTGAGTGGTGTGGGATGAGTGGGGTGTGTGTGTGTGTGGTGTGAGTACTGTTATGTGTGTGTGTGTGTGTACAGCTTTAGTGGTGTGTGTGTGTGTGTGGGTGTGTGGTGTGAGTGCTATTATGTGTGTGTGCGTCTTGAGTGGTGGCTTGAGTGGTGTGGGGTGAGTGGTGTTTGTATGTGTGTGTGTGTGGTGTGAGTGCTGTTATGTGTATGTGTGTGTGTGTACAGCTTGAGTGGTGTGTGTGTGGGTGGGTGGGTGGGTGTGTGGTGTGAGTGCTATTATGTGTGTGTGCGTCTTGAGTGGTGGCTTGAGTGGTGTGGGGTGAGTGTTGTTTGTATGTGTGTGTGTGTGCTGTGAGTGCTGCTATATGTGTGTGCAGCCTGAGTGGTGTGGGGTGAGTGGTGTGTGTGTGTGTGTGTGTGTGTGTGTGGTGTGAATGGTGTTACGTGTGTGTGTGTGTGTGTGTGTGTGTGTGGTGCGAGTGGCTCTGTCCACGCAGGATGGTGGGGCTGGGCCTGGCTCTCCCTTTCCTAGCTCTCTGTGGGTTACTTTGCTTTCCCCTATTTTCCCGGGGGAGGAGGTATGCTGGCTGTGCTTGGGGATCACTCCTGCAAGGGTGTGGGGGCCCATGTGGATTGCGGGGATTGCTCTGGGCCAGCTGAGTGCAAGGCAGGCACCCTGATCGCTGTACGATCTCTCTGGCCCTCTTTTCCTTTTTCTTCTATTTTGTTCCTTCCTTTCCTCCCTCCCCTTTCTCGTTCCTGCCACATCCAGCTGTGCTCAAGGCTGACGCCTGGCTCTGTGCTTGGTATCACTGCAGGGGGGGGTTGATGGAAGCTGACCACCCATGTGTGAGCCAGTCCCTCCCTGGCTTACTATCTCTCCTTTGGGGATTTCATGTCATTTTGGTTTGGGGGCCACGTGCGGGCAGCGGTGCTCAGGATTTACGCCTGGCTCCAAGCTTAGTGACCACTCCTGGTGGTGCTCTGGGGATGAGAATGCCAGGGATCAACCAGGGTAGGCCACGTGAAAGGCAAGTGCCTTAGCCCCTGGGCTGTGGCTCCAGACCCTCTTCTGTAGGTTTCTAAAAACTCTTCAATTTTTTTTTTCCCCCGGTGAGGCTCAGGGGTTACTCCTGGCTCTGAACCCAGGAATCACTCCTGATGGTGCTCGGGGGATGCCTGATGGGATGCTGCGATCAAACCCGGGTTGGCTACGGACAAGGCAAGCCTGTCTTGCTGTACTGCTCTGACACAGCCACTTAGAACTTCTTCGCTGCCAGGGCATGTGGCACCCCACCCTCCCCAACCCGATTCCCTGGCGGGACCATGAGGGGGTCCCCGTGCCCCACCACTCACCCACCACCCTGGTGTTGTAGTAGTCGGGCAGCATGCGCTCGCAGAGGGCCACCAGCAGCCAGAAGGCCTCCTCCTCGCTGCCGTAAAGCAGGAGCACGGAAGTCACGATGTTCATGGCCTGCGGGGGTGGGCACAGGGTCAGCCACGGACTGTAGGGGTGCTGGGCACGCTTGGGCTGGCCACTCTGCCAGACCCCGCCCTCGAGAGACCATTCTCTGCCACCAGAACTTGCCTCTCTAGACCCTGTCCAGACCCTGTCCCACAAACCATCCCCTCCCGGCCCTGCCCGCACCCCTCCAGATGGCGCCCCCAAAAGGATGGCACCTACCTGGTTGTGAGAGCAAATCCCATCAGGAGACCCCCCATCCCACCAGACTCTGGGCGATTATTCTTTTGGGTGGAGGGGTGAGGGGCCTCCCAGGTGGAAGTGACTTGGGGGTCCCTCCCTGTGACTCTTGAAATGTCCTATCTCTGGCCTTATTTTCTGGCTCGTTCTGGTTTTGGGGTCACACCTGGCAGTGCTCAGGATTTACTCCTGGATCTGTGCTCAGGGGTCACTCCTGGCGGGCTTGGGTGAAGCCTGGTAATCGCCCTACCCACTGTACTGTCTTTCCAATACCCTCCCCGCCTTCTTTGTTGTGTGGTGCCGGGATTGAATCCAGGACTTCGCAATGTAAGTGCGTTACTACTGAGCAACATTTTTGAGTCTCTATTATTATTATTATTATTGTTTCTATTTTTAGGCCACACCGTAAGGGGATCAGGAATCATGCCCAGTGTGACCTGAGAGGGTGGCAGGGATTGAACCCAGGTCAGCTGCATGCGAGGGAAGAGCTTGAGCCCCTGCTCTGTCCGTGTCCCCGTTATCAAAATGGACACAGTCCCTGTGGCTATAGGGCTTTTGGTCATACCTGACTGTGCTCAGGGCGTCCTCCTGGCTCTATGCCAAGGGGATCACCCCTGGCAGGATTGGGCAGGGAAGGAACCCAGGTCAGCAGTAAGGTGAGCAACCTGCCTGCTGCCCTATGGCTTGGGGCCCTATCCACATTTATGTATTGAACACACTCTTTTCCGTGTCTGATTCCCACACAAACACACCCCTCCACACCATTCCCCCTAGAAATGGCCCCAGAAAAGCTTTATACACATAATGGGTCACTGGGAAGGTCTCTGAGCACTGCGCCTGGGATCTCCGTACTTTCTTCTCTCACAAAAAAACAGACTGCCCAAAACACCCCACTGACTCGAGACGTGTGCTCTTAGATCACACAGTGGGGTGTGTGTGAGTGGGGGGGGGGGAGCACAGTGGGGACCCACCTGGCAGTAGCCGATGTTGGGGTTGCGGAAGGCGTAAGCCGTGAGCACTCGGCGGAGCGCAGCGATACCCAGCTCGTTCTGGAAGGCGGGGTGCTCAGGCATGGACCGGTGCAGGTCCCGCTCTATCTCCTCTGTGGCCAGGCTGTACTTGCCCATGGACTGTGCCACCAGCTGAGCATAGTAGCCGGGGTGCGTTACCATCTCGTTCCAGGCCCCTAGTTGGGACAACAGAAGGGGTTCGGGCACGCTGGCTCACCCCTCCGCCCCACCCCGCTCCTCCCGAGGGGGCTCGGAAGATGCCCGTGCATTAGTGAGAAGCACGGCCAGCGCGACGGGCGGGGCGGATGCTCTCATGGCACATAGCCGGAGGGACTGAATCCCCAGGACCCACAGGGTCCCCTGGGCCCACCAGAAGCGATCCCTGGGCACCCCTGGGTGTAGCGACCCGCCACTCCGCCTCCAATCAAAGAAAAAAGGAGACACTGTCTTTCTGTTTGGTGCTGGGGCCACACCCAGCAGTTCTCACAGGCTGCTCTGGCCTGCACTTGGGTCACTCCCCTCGGGCTCAGGGCCCCTCCGGGAATCCGGGGGTCGAACCTGTGCTGACCAAGCTCTAGGGAAGCACCCTCCCCACTGTCCTGCCGATCCAGCCCCAAGGGGACACTTGGGTGGGCTGGTTATGTTCCCTGCTGATTGCTACCACGAGTGCTGGTGGTGGGACAGGGGTCCCGGCCCCAGCCCCCAAGTTCCCACTGGCCCTGGGGCCACTCTTGGGTAGGCTGTGCAGCAGCAGCCAAAGAGGCCAGACCCAGCTCCTGCGGGGACGCACCTGAGAAGAGCAGCCAGAGCTCCCCGCGCAGGCTCTCGGGGATGCCCTTCAGCACCAGCTCTCGGGTCCTGGCCGTGCGGTACATGCACATGCCACGGCCGTACTCGAAGAAATGGATGTTCCATGACTCCTCCTTCATCTTCTCCTTGGCCTGGGGAGAGGCATGGGGGGCTGCGGGGGCCTCTTGGGGACCGCACTGATGGCCACAGGCACCCCTTTCTGCTCTAAGCCTCCCAAACACAAGCTCGGTCCGCTCCAGCCCTGCCCAGAGAGTGCCAGAGTGGAGGGTGAATGTAGCTCTAGGGGCAGGGCTGTCCAATGGCTGGGGCACCCGCCTTGGGCACAGCAGACCCGGCACCTGTAGGCTTCCCGAAGCCTGCCAAGAGTGATTCCTGAGCACAGAGCCAGGAGGAAGCCCTGCATACAGCTGGGTGTGACCCAGAAAAAAAAGGAAAAAAATTGTAGATTTGGCCAGAAAGAACAGGGGGAAGCTGCTTTTCTTGCATGAGCCAACCCAGGTTTGATCACCAGCACCACATACGGTGGTCCTGAGCCCTCGCCAGAAGTGATCCAGGAGTCATCCCTGAGCACTGCAGGGTGTGGCTCAAAAAAACAAAACAAAATTGGGGGCCCAGGGAGCGTCCAGGGTGAAGGTGCTTGCCTTCTATGTGGCCCACCCTGGTTCCCCAGGCCCCACACAAGATGCCACCCTGCCCCACACACTGACAGCGCTAGCAGTAGCGCTAAGAGCCAGTGGTGCAACCCCCCCATCCCGAGGAAAGGCACATTTGTGGGAACACTCAACTTTTTTTTTCCTGAGAAGCGGGTAGCAGGCCAAGCAAGTGTGGGACTATCTGATCCCAAGTCTCAGATATCCAAGAAAAATCCCCCTGTGGTGCTCAACACGCCCGAGCCTGGGGCGGGGTTCCTCCCCATCTGCCCCACCCCCTCAGCATGGCATAAGCACATGGCCCACGACACTCACCCCCTTGGCGCCCAGGTCCTCCATCTGCGTGGCCCCCTGGAAGAGCTTGAGTAGACCCTGCGAGGCCGTGGGCGCCTCTAGCACGTTGGCCCCCTGGGCTCCCCCCAGGGGTGAGGATGGGTGGGCTGGCAGTTCGGTGAACTCTTGGGGGGACTGGAAGAGAAAGTCCCTATGGAGTGAGCAAGCCCCCTCCCTGTCCTGCACCCCTGCAACAAGGAACCCACCGTGACAACTACCTACAGGATACAAAATTCAAGCGCTTTGCTTTTTTTTTTTTTTCTTTTTGGGTCACACCCGGCAATGCACAGGGGTTACTCCTGGCTCTGCGCTCAGGAATTACCCCTGGCGGTGCTCAGGGGACCATATGGGATGCTGGGAACCGAACCCGGGTCGGCCGCGTGCAAGGCAAACGCCCTACCTGCTGTGCTATTGCTCCAGCCCTTTGCTTTTTTTTCCTTTTTCTTTTTGGGTCACATCCCGCGATGCTCAGGGGTTATTCCTGGCTCTGCACTCAGAAATCACTCCTGGCAGTGCTTGGGGGACCATATGGGATGCCGGATATCGAACCTGGGTCAGCCGCGTGCAAGGCAAACACCCTCCCCGCTGTGCTATCACTCTGGCCCTACTCTTTCATTGTTGTGCCTGAGAGAGAACCCATGGCGGGAGGATTGGGTTCTGCATGTGTCTGACCTAGATTTGACCCCTAGCATCCCACAGGGTCCCCTGAACACTACCAGGAGTGATATCTGAGCACAGAATCAGGAGTGAGTCCTGAGCACCACTGAAGGTGGCCCAAAAACAAAGAAAAAAAAAAGAAAGAAAGAAGGAAGGAAGGAAGGAGGAAGGAAGGAAAAGAGAAGAAAACTAAAACTATATACAAGATTATGAATTAGCACCTATGAGCCTGTCTTTGTTTATACCACCTCATTTCACAGTTCAAATACTCTATCTGAAAAGGAGCCGGAGGAAGCCAAGTGGGGAGGGACTTGCCTTGCATGTGGCCGACCTGGGTTCGATCTTTGGCCTCCCATGAGGTCCCCTGGGCACCACCAGGAGTTAATTCTTGAGTTAGCACCTGGAGTGACCCCTGAGCATCAGGGGTAGGGCCAAAAACACCTAACTGAAAACGCTCCGGGACTGGAGAGGGAGCCCAAAGGACTGAGCCAGGCTTTGCGCACAGGAGGCTGGGTGGGATCCCCAACTCTGCATGGCCCCCAAACACTGCGGGCATCCCCCGCCCCTAAGGGTGTACGTAAGTGGGGAAATATTTACCCAAATACTAGATACGCAGGGATTCCTATGGGATGGGGGAGGGGGGTCAGGGCTGGAGCACTGGCCGTGTGTGAATGAGCTGAAGCTTTGGGCTTCATCCCTGGCACTGAGCCCCGCATCCCCCAAATGCTATTATCTGGACTGGAGAAATGATGATACTGCAAATACTAGCCTTGGCTTTCATATATTTTAGGGGCTCTTCAGTTACACCTTGGCAGTGCCAGGGGCCCTTCCTGGCTCTGTGCTCAGGAGCAACCCCTGGTGGTGGTAGGAGAATACCAGGCAATGCCAGGGAGCTAAGGGATTACTGGGCTTCAAGGCCGATGCCTCAAGTTCTGTCCTACTCTCTGGCCCTGGAGGCAAGTTTTTTTTTTTTGCTTTTTGGGTCACACCTGGCAATGCACAGGGGTTACTACACTCAGGAATTACTCCTTGCGGTGCTCAGGGGACCATATGGGATGCTGAGAATCAAACTTGGGTCGGTCACGTGCAAGGCAAACGCCCTACCTGTTGTGCTATTGCTCCAGCCCCATCGGTAAGTCTTTAGGGGAATCCTGAGGCTGAAGAGAGTCCTGGGGCTGGAGCGATGGCACAGCAGGTAGAGTGTTTGCTTTGCATGAGGCCGACCCAGATTCAATTTTCGATTTTCGGCATCCCATATAGTCCCCTGAGCACCACCAGGAGTGATTCCTGAGTACAGAACCAAGAGTAACCCCTCAGCACTGTTGGGTGTGACCCAAAAAGCCAAAAAGAAAAGAGAGAGAAGAGAGAGAGAGAGAGAGAGAGAGAGAGAGAGAGAGAGAGAGAGAGAGAGAGAGAGAACCTTGGCATGGTTTGCCATGCCGAGTGAGCCCAAATAAAGAATATGGGGATCGGGAACCCCCAGCCAACAGGCCCCTGCTGGGAAGACCCGAGCAGTAAGGGGGATGGTCCCTCTTAGGGGTGCTAAGGGATAGGGAGCAGGGCTCAGCTCCAGCCGGTGGTAATGGGGGGCACTCTAAGACAGGACTGAAGTGGCCATGCAGGATAAGTGATGCCTGGGGTCAGCTCGACGGGGGCGTCTGAGCTGTGGCACCTCTGGCCAGGTACCTACTGGCTTGGGCGGGCAGCGTCTGCCAAGGATCCACGCCGAGATTCACCCCAGACTGGGGGCTGCCAACACCTCAGCCTGCCTCTGGCTCCCCACCAGCCCCATCTTGCTCTGTGGACCCTCACCTCCGGATCCTCCGGGCCCACTCCCTGGGCCTTGCTGCTGGCTTCTGGCACCTTGACCGGGGTTTTCTGCAGAAAATCTGAAATCCTCTGCACCAGGAAGTCACGGTCCCGCAGGTTGGCGAAGAGGAAGGTCATCTTGCCGCGGGTGCTGATGGACAGCGGTCTGGGCAGGACACTGGAGCAGTCGGCTTTCTCCACGATGGTCACCTGGGAAGGAGGGAGGGGTCTGTGTGCTGGGGAGTCATCGCTCCCGTAGCCCCCGTGGACCCAGAGTCTGAGGCTGCCCTCGTGGTCTCAGGCCCCTGGTCAGGACAAGGCCATGCACAGGAGTAGCACTTTGCCTTCTGCTTTCTCTGGTTTTGTTCTGGGGCCACACCCAGTGGCTGACTCCTGGCAGGGCTCAGGAGACCCTCTAAGCAGTGCCAGGGATTAAACCCAGCTCAGCAACATTCGAGGCCAGCACCTTCCCTGTGTTCTTTCTCTCACCTTAGAGACCTAGCTTTTCTCCCACCCGGCCCTTGGCTCCCACGAAGGAGTGGGGGTGGGAGGGGAGTGCCTGCAACCTCCCTCCCCCCCACCCCCGGCATTGTTTCTCTGCTCTCCAGGTTCTCAGTAACCAGGACCCAGCAGACCAACTGGGAGAGCAAGTGAGTGCGGTGGGCCTAGGGAGATAGCTCAGTGGGTACTGAGCTGCGTGCATCCAAACCCGGGTCTATCCTGGCATCCCAGAGCATCCCCGGGGCCCACTGGGGATGGTTGTAAGCAGAGCTAGGAGTAAGCCCTGAGCACCACTGGGTGTAGTTCAAAAAGCATCAGCCAAAACAAATAATGATCCTCATGACAGGTAAGTCCTGACATCTGGTGGCCTGGTGGGGGCCAGCCTGCTGGCCGCGTGGTGCAGGTGCAGCAGCCTGCAGGGCCAGGAGCGGGTGCAGGGTGTGGGGGTGCGAGGTGTGTACGCTTACCTCCCGCAGCGGGATGATGAGGTGGCAGGCATCCTCCTCCTTGCTGGCGAAGCAGATGTAGTTCCCGGAGATGAACAGCACTCCTGGCACGTGCAGCTTGCTGAAGGGCGCCCACAGGGTGCAGCTTGTGTGGCCATCCAGCCGCTCGTCCAGGGGAAGCCTGAACGTGGCGCGGTAGCACTCATTCTTGGCACGGGCATCCAGGTCTCTGTGGGGGCCGGGCAGGGCTCAGGTGGGGCTCAGGGCAGGGGTGGGGTGCAGCCGCTGTGGGGAACTACTGATCCCCACCTGCCCCAGGACCACCTAGCCAAGGGTCCAGCTTGCTTCCTTCAGGAAGGTCCTAGAAACCTGATCCCCAAGGGCCAGCAGGGAGATCTCTAAGCACATACATATGGATAGAGGCACGCATGGTTGCATGAGGGCAGGCAGGCACATAACACACATGCACATATATATACATATAGCAATACACATGCATGCACACGTGCATGCAGAGGATAGAGGGGGGATAGGACCCCCAGTCCCCTGTCCCTGACTTTGGGACAACTCATCCACCTCCCTGTTTTCTGAAAGGGCAAGGTGTGGAAGGGGGTGTGGATCACGGTACTCCCAAACAAGACATTGTTTGCCAAAGCCCCCGCCCCAATAAGCATGCTCTAAACAGCCAGTGTGCCCATGTGCAGGAATTCAGAAGCCCAACTCCCACTTTCTCCAGAGGCTGACCCTCCTTTTCTCCTAAAAGCCCACCAACCCTCCTGAGCCCAAATCATCACCTTGCCCTCCCAGCTGTCCCAGTAGAAGGACCCAGACTTACACTTCACCCCCATCCCCCGGGGCTGGAATAAAGTGCTTCTTAAGCACTTTCATCCCTGGTTAAGAGTCTCTAAGCAAGCAGGCGATGCACATACAGACATGGGACAGCGGCATGCATGCATGTACACAGACATGCATGCATGTATGCAGAGCTGCACACAGGCAAACATGTACGAAGGCATATACAGTAACTCACATGCAGGCATACCCACAGGCATAAAGGGACGTTCGTGTGCATTTACACAAGCACATATAGATGGATAGAGGCACACATGGCTGCACGAGGGCAGGCAGGCACGTAACACTCATGCATATATATATAGCAATGCACACGCATGCACACATGCACGCAGTTATGTACATAGTATGTAAGACCATGCACGCACATTGCACACAGGACTCATGCACACATGCACACATCACACAGTTCACGGGCACACAGTAGGCAAGCCGACCTACACGCAGGTACACATATATACATGCAGGCACGCACACATGGGCGTACGCATGCACGCAGTATGGTGGCATAGAGGCATGCACAGCCCCCCCAGCCACTCACCTCTTCAGGGCGGACACGTGTCGGTGTGGGCGCGCAGGCCGGGGCAGGGCTTTCTGCTCTGGGAGGCCAGAGCTGTCTAGCAGCTGGCGCACGGCCAGGTTGGCCAGCTGCTCCATGAGCTTGAACGTCTCGCCCACGTTGAGGAACATGGAGAAGAAGAGGTCCTGGTCACGGGTGGTCACGCGGATGCTCTCGGGGAATAGCAGGGTGGCACTCTTATCCAGCCGTGTCACGTCCACCCACTGCACCACCAGGCTCACTGGCGCCCAAGCACATAAAGGTCAGGCAGGGGGCGGGCTCCGGGGGGCACCCTGCTCCTGGGGCTCGACCCTACCTGCTGGGGCTGGCCCTGGGGGACAGGCTATTGGGGTCACACTACACTCCAGGTCCATGACCTGCCTTCCTCCCAAGTGAGTGCCCACTGCTGGGAACCAAGGGGCTTGCAGAGTGCAGGGAATGCGACAGCGGAAGGCAGGGCAAGGGGTGCTGGGTGTGTGCATGGCAGGGTGTGTGTGTGGTTGGTGTGTACACAGTCTGCACGGTGTGAATGTGGTTAGTGTGTATATGGTGTGTATATGGTCAGTGTGTGCATGATGGATGTGTGCATGATGGATGTGTGCATGGTGTGTATGTCGTTGCTGTATACACAGTACGTGCAAGGTAGGCGTGTGCATAGTGTGTAGTGCAAATGGTTAGTGTGTACATGGTTAGTAAGTATGTGGTGGATGTGTGCATGATGTATATATGGTTAACGTGTACAAGATGGATGTTTGCATGGTGTGTACAACTACACGGCGAGTGCACAGCTAGTGCGCATAGTGTATGTGGTGTACATATACCTGGTGAGTGAGCAGATGGTTAGTGCACATGGCGGGTTCATCTGAGTAGCGTACATGGTTACTGTCCACAGTTACTGTCCAGTCCATGGTCACTATCCATGGTCACTGTCCGTGATTACTGGCCATGGCAGATGTGCTCACAGCACCAATCAGCCTTACTAGATTGGCAAGGGAGATTCCAGGGACAGTGAGCCTGGGGGCCTTTGGGGTCCCAGGGTCGCAGAAGGCTTTAGCAGCCAGGGGAGCTACAGGTTTCCTTCCCACCACCCCATCATCCCTGGAGCCCCTGGTTCGGGTGACATGTGCAGGGTCTCCGGGGAAAGTCCCCCAAGGGACTCCAGGGTTTGGGGGGTCTCAGGCTGGCAATGCCTACCAGGATGGGTGCTCACCTTCCTTGCCCAGCAGGAAGGAGTAGAAGCAGAGGTGGTTGACTGACAGGTAGAGCCAGCCCTGGCGGGGCACGTGGCCCTTCCAGAAGCTGCAGGAGTAGTAGTTGACCAGCCGCTCTCCCTCTGGCATGCCGAACTGTTTGCGCATCTTCAGCTCTGCCTCCTTGAACTTCCCAGGGTCCTCGTCCCCCTGGGCGGGGAGTCCCTTGCTCTCCTCAGCGATGATGCCCTACAGACGATAGAAGGATGGGTGGGGGCCTGGAAGCTGGTGTGTGTGTGTGTATACATGGGCAGGTACCTTCTCTCCAGGTTTGGACTCAAGAACCTACTTCCCCCACAGGAAGAGCTGGCTGGTGGCAGGGTCTGGACCCCCCCAACTTGCTGTACTCGCCTAGGGAAACCCCACTGTCAGGACCACTGGAGGGGCTGGAGTGGCAAGACAGTGGGGAGGGCGCTGGCCTTGGTTCAATCCTCTGCACACCACGGGATCCCAAGCCCATCAGGAGAAAGCTGCCGGATGAGCATCAAAACACAGAGGAAAAAGAGAAGAGAAGAGGAAATAAGGGGAGGGGAGAAAAAGGAGGGGAGGGGAGAAAGTAAACGTTGGAGGGGAATGGAGAAGAGAGGAGGAGAGAAGAGAGGGGAAGAAAGAGGAGGGGAGGGGTGTGGAGAGGAGAAGAAAGGAGGGGAGAGGAGAGGAGGTTGGGTTTCTTATGGGAATGGATTTTATTTTTTTGCTTTTTGGGTCACTCCCAGTGATGCGCAGAGGTTCCTCCTGGCTCTGCACTCAGGAATTACTCCAGGTGTTTCTGGGGGACCATATGGGATGCCAGAAACTGAACCCGGCCGGGGGATCAAACCCAGATCAGCCCCATGCAAGGCAAAGGCCCTACCCGCTTACCTGGGAATAAATTTTAGAAAACTTCAGGTTTTCTTTCTCGCCCTGAGTCTCCACTTGAAGTTCTGAGCCCTGATTTCAGTCTCTGGGTCTCTTGATCTTTTATATTGTTGCTGCTGTTGTTATTATTATCATTATTACTTTGCAGGCTGGAGCAATAGCACAGTGGGTAGGGTGTTTGCATTGCATGTGGCCGACCCGGGTTGATTCCTCCGTCCCTCTCCTTCTCGGAGAGTCCAGCAAGATACCGAGTATCCCACCCGCACGGCAGACCCTGGCAAGCTACCTGTGGCATATTTGATATGCCAAAAACAATAACAAGTCTCACAATGGAGACATTACTGGTGCCTGCTTGAGCAAGTCGATGAACAACAGGAGGACAGTGCTATTACTTTGCTTTGTTCAGGAGGGGCTACCTCAGGGGTACTCAAGAGGGACTATTTTTGGCTCAATGCCAGGGGCTTGCTTCAGGCGGTGCTGGGGGGCTAAGGGGGACCTCGCAATGCCAGGGATGGAACCCCAGGTTTGCAACACCCCAAGTCCTTTGTGCCGTCTCCCCAGCCACCCAGACATTCCCCGACACAGGATGCCCCATGACAGCCAGGGAGTCCGTGACGAGTCGCCAGTGCAGCTTCTCAGGAAGGACCTTTTTGGTTGTTGCTTTGTTTTCGTTTGGTTTTTTTATTTGGTTTTGGCATCACACCTGGCAGTGCTCAAGGCTGATTCCTGGCTCTGCGCTCAGGAACTTCTGGAGGTGCTCAGGGACCACATGGGGTGCTGGGATTGAATCCAGGCCAAGCTCAGGAAAAGCAAGCGCCCTGCCCACTGCAGTATCACTCCAGCCCCTTCATGGATCACTTTTTTTTTTTTTTTTTTGCTTTTTAGGTCACACCCGGCGATGCTCCGGGGTTACTCCTGGCTTTGCACTCAGGAATCACTCCTGGTGGTGCTCAGGGGACCATATGGGATGCTGGGGATCGAACCTGGGTCAGCCACGTGCAAGGCAAATGCTCTACCCGCTGCGCTATTGCTCCAGCCCCTCATGGATCACTTTTGATCTGAATTGTATACTAATAAAGTGTCTCTCCCCTCTGCCATCTAAATTTTTGTTTCAAGGTGTATACTTTATTGTGCGTACACACACACACACACACACACACACATACACACACACTAGGTTGTGGTGCTGGGATCCCAGACTGCAGTTGTGGCTGGGAATGCCCATGGCATATGGCGGTACCAGGGGTGAAGCCTGGGGCCTTAAGGGTGCCAGGTGAGTGCTTCACCTGCGCCGACCCTACCCACTGCTTTGGAAAAATCTGCTTTATTATGTATGGGCCCAGCTCATAATTCTCAGCCTAGGTTATTTTGACATAGCTCCACTGTTCCGTGTGGCCTGCTGAGTACCGAGACCTTCGTCACTCTCTGTCAGTTTCTCTGACATGAGAAGACAATCCAGGTCCCCCTCCCTAGAGCCCCCAAGTGTCAAGAGAACAGCTGAGGAATGCCCAGAGTCCTCGGCCGGTCTAGAAAGTTCTAAGGTTAGCAATTCATCAGGACCTGCCTCAAGCAACTTGGCCCCGGGAAACTTTGCCTTCCTGAAAATCAAATTCAGGATGACATCTCAGGAAACAGAAAAAAAAAACGGGGGGGGCGCATATACAGTTTGGAGTGATAAGACAGAGAGGCAGGGCCAGCCCAAGTCAATTCCCAGAACCCTATAGGGTCCCCTGGGCATCACTGGGAGTGATCCCTGAGCCTAGAGTTAGGATTAAATCCTGGGCACAAAAACCGCATGTGACACTGCTTGCACCACTATGGTGACCAGGTCCTCTGGTGTGTTCGGGGCGATGACCTGGCTGATGGGTGAAGGAAGGGGTTCACTGGCTGGTACTCAGTGGCACTTTATTCAAATCCATCAGGATTACTATAGAGAGAGCATAATGGGCTGGGGGACAGCAGGTACACAGGGTTGTGGCTGAACTACTAACGTAAACAATAAAAAGATGTAAAGCCCTTCTTTCCCGGGAAGCTCTAGGAGATCATCCCAAGGGCAGAATTCCATCTAAGGGCATATTGCTCTCCTTTCTCTTCTCCTTACTGGTAACCCATTAAAACAATCATATTAAATTTACTTCTTAGTAATATTTCTAGTCATTTTGTATGAACACAGTAAGAGATATAGGCTTTTACCTATACCCTAGACTAAGCTTAAATGGTCTCTCTGGACTTATGGTAAAGGGTGGCTTTTGCTGGAGACATCTCTCTATATTTCCAGGACTACAGTCTTCAGGCTAGCTTAGTTTTTCCTAACCCCATTAGGTCCTTATTCAGTTACTTCTTTTTGGGTCATGACAGAGCTTGTTTCATGACCGTGCTCTTAACTTATTATAGTTCTTATGGCACTTAGGCTGTCCCATGTTGAAGTCAGGGTGGCTCATGGCTTGCCCTGGGTCCTTCCAAGTCCCTTAGTGGGGTGTAAGGAACTAAAGTCAATCCAACAACAACTGAGGCTTAAGTCACGGATGCCCAGGAGTAAATATTATCTGGAGTCAATTCCATATTACAAAAGCATAGCATTAACTGTCTTCCTGTGTCTATATTACTCTAAAATAAAGATATGCAAAGGACATCAAGGAAAGAGAAAAGCAATATTTCACTTACATATACAAAATCCATCCAGAGTCAAATCAGAAGGTTTGACTTTATAGGTCATGTATCTGGTTTGGAGATACATGTGACGCACAAAGGAGAGGTTAAAGATAAACACAGAGGATTGGGAGTGCACAAATGGAATTGGGTGTGTCCCCTCAGGAGCACTATAGTGGGAGTCATTCAATTAATCGAAGCTCCCTGCTGGAGGAGAAAGGAAAACCCAATGTTAAGCCTAAAATGCTTGGAAGTATAATCCAACATGGCACCAAAAATATAAAAATATCAGAAAGACACACACATATCCATATATGCTCCAGGTAACCCCATCTGGTTAATTATACCCCAGAATGGTTAATTATGCCCCAGAGAGACAAAACAACCCAGTCAGTACCTGCCATGGATTTATAAAATTGCAGCAACATGATTTTGTAAGAACATGACTTGGAGAACGGGCGGGAGAGATCTCAGGGCAGGCTGGAGGCAGTTGTCTTACACACAGCTGACCCTGGTTTCATTCTCTAGTCACTGTATGGTTCCCCCTGAACCCAGCTGGGAATTCCCTGAGCAACCCTGGGCATGGCCCCCGAACAAACATACGAATAGGGGGCTGGAGCCATGGCACATTTGCCTTGCACACGGCTGATCCGGGTTCGATTCCCAGCATCCCATATGGTTCCCTGAGCACCACCAGGGGTGATTCCTGAGTGCAGAGTCAGGAGTAACCCCTGTGCATTTCCAGGTGTGACCCAAAAAGCAAAATAAATAAATATAAATAAACAATAACAAAAAAACCAAACACATGAATAGAGAAACAGATCCAGGGCGGGGGTGCTGGGCAGGGGTTCCGGCGCTGCTGGTCTGTGAGCCCTGAGCTCTAATGTAATACCCAACTGCAAGGCACAGAGTATAGAGGATATTTTGAGCCCCAGGGGTGTGGCTCACTGCCTACCCCTCACCCCTCAAAAAAGAAGGATCCACATTATGGGTTGATTGCTTCAAGTTGGGCTTTCAAGTCTGCAAACATGCTTGGGGCAAATCAAGGGGTGCTCAGGGCTCACTCCTGGTAGGCTCAAGGAACTGGAGGTGATGCTGGTGACTGAGCCCCAGTCATACACATGCCAAGCAAGTGACTTGACCCTGGATTATCCATAAACCAGCCTAACTAACTTCCTGCCGATTTTCCACTGCCAAAGTCTTTTTTCCTTCCTTTTTTCCTTCCTCCCTTCCTTCCTTCCTCCCTCCCTCCCTCCCTCATTTCCTTCCTTCCTTCTCTTCCTCCCTTCCTTCCTCCCACCTTCTTTCCTGGACCACACCCAGCAGTGATCAAAACTAACTCCTGCCTCTGTGCCTGGAGCTGACTCCTGACTGAGTGCTCAGGGCTCACTGCTGGCTGGGCTCTGGGAATGCTAGGTGGTGCTAGGATTAAACCCTAATTAGCAGTCTGCTGTCCTGTCTTCTCCCACCCCAGGGAAGCATATAAACTATCTCTCCAGTCCTAAAACAGTTGTTTGTTTGTTTTTGGGGGGGCCACACCTGGCTGTGCTTTGGATCCATGTGGTATGGGGTAGGACTCATGCAAGGCAAGTGCCTTACCCTCTGTGCTATCTTTCTGGCCCCTTGTGTAGATTTTGCTCACCAGCCCAAAGACAAAGGAGGACTGGAGGGATGGTACAATGGGTAGGGTGCTTGCCTAACATGCGGTCAACCTGAGTTTGATTCCTGGCATCCCACATGGTCCCCTGAGCAACACCAGAAGTGATCCCTGAGTGCAGAGCCAGGAGTAACTCCTAAGCACCGCTGGGTGTGGTCCTCAAACAAAACCAGCAAAATTTAAAAAAAAGAAAAAACAAGAGGTTCACATCCTCCCTCCTGCCCTGAGCCAGAGAACGGAAGGATCCCACTGGGTTGGAGCTAGTAGAGCTGGCTGGCAGAGAGGAACCACTCTGGTCATTTGGCCGAAGCCCCCTTTCCACCTCCCAGGAGCGGGTCTGAGGCCAATCAGCCTGTGCACTTGGTGCTGGGGCAACAGCGACATTTAGGGCAGAACCACTGACGAATCTCCCCATTACACCTCCCCTCAAGGCAAGGACAGACAGCTCAGGGGTGAGGACCCAGTTCGCAGGGGTGAGGGGCTGCACCTGAGCCTTCTCCTGTGGGCACCCCCCCCCCCCCGCCCCAAGCAGCACCACGTGAGCCTGCTCCCCCGCCCTGCCCCATGCGAAGGTGAAGGAGACATACATGGATCTTGCCCTTGACGAAGGTGGTGATGTCTTCCTCGTTTTCGAAGATGGCCAGGGTCTGCAGCAGATTACTCTCCAGCCATTCCCAGCACTTGGTGATCTCCTTGCGGGAAGAGCCTACAGAGGTTGGGAAAGTGGGTGTGTGAGGGGAAGGTCAAGAGACGGGGGCTCACAAAGATCACCAGGTTGGGACCAAAGCAACAGCACAGCGGGGAGGGCACTTGTCTTGCACGTGACCAACCTGGGTTCCATCCCAGCAGCCCGTGTGGTCGCCGAGCACCACCGGGAGCAACCCCTGAGCCTCACTGACGCAGCTCCAACACAGGGGGAAAGGGATTCTGACTCTGCTCGTGGTTGGCCCAGGTTTGAGTCTTTGGCACAGTGTAGGTGTCCCTGAACACCCTCAGAGCGCTCCTAAGCACTGTGCCAGGAAGAGCCCCCGAGAGCCGCGGGATGTGGCCCAGCCCCTCTCCACCCCCCAATAAAACCCACCAGGCTTCCTCATAGGCTCAGGAGTGAAGGCAGACAGGAGCGAGATGGGATAGGCGCTGACCAGTGTGATCTCTGGCACCCCACAGGGTCCCAACTCCTGGGGCGTCAGCACCCTTGAGAGGAGCCCTGAGCACAGAGTTGGGAAGCCATCCCCTGAGCACCCTGAAGCCCAAACCAACCAACCCAAGAGAGAGAAAAAACAGGAACTCAGCACCCTGCGGGTAAGCCCGAGGGGAGGTTCAGACCCTGCAAAGCTGGTGGCTCTCTCGTCCTGTCTCGGTGGGCCGGGCACATGGTTCTGAGCACAAACAGATCAAGGTCACAAAGCCTGGAAAATGGGTCCCTGGCTGGGGGGGGGGGGGGGGAGGGCTCAGCAGCGGTTGGCTTGTGGCGATCTGGCTTTGAATCTCCCAACCACCAAGGGAAAGACTCAGTGAAGAGCCAGGATAGGCGGGGGGAGGGGGGGAGGAGGGGGACGGGTGGGAGGATCCAGTGATCCCCTGGACCTCAGCCAGGCTGGAAATGGGGGAACTTCACTCACTGGGGGCAGAGCAGTTCCTCCTGGGAGGAGATCAGGGGTGGGTGGGGCCAAGGCCACAATGTGGTCCTAGATGGGTCTGAGCTCAAACTCTGCCAAGGCTGTGCACCCACAGGTCAGCAGCTGATTTCCCGAGAGCTTGTGTTCACACCCACCCTCCCCGCTCGTCAGTCATTAGAGGGTGACACAGGATGGGATGGGAAGGGAAGTGGGAGGCAGAGTTCCACTCCCCGCAGACATGCGACAGCAGGAACCCCACACCCACAGCTCTCCATACTCTGGGCAAGGAGCCCCCTGCACCCTCACACTCTCCCACATGTATCTCGGCAGGGCCCCCTAACACCCCCTACTTTCCCTACACTCGGGCCGGGACCCCCAACACCACTCCTTCACTGTCCCAAACGCATGCTGGCACAGGCCTCCGGCACCCCCACACTCCCCCACACATATGGAGGCCAGGCCCCCAGCTCCCCCACACTCCTGTAACCACATGGAGATTTCTCAGGGTTCTGGGCTCACAGAACCTCTGCCTCAGGATATCTTCATTTTCAGGTTGTGTTTTGGGGCAGTTCTCAGGGTTTATTCCTGGCTCTAGGCTCAGGGGTGGCTCCTCATGGACTGGACTGCGGGGACAGAATCTAGAGGTCCCCTCTGTGTTGGTGAGCTGCGCCTTTGCCAACAGGAGGGGACAAAAAGAATCTAATCTAACACTGGATGCTGAGAGAGTCCACCTGGCAAAGCACTTGCCCAGCGTCCAGTTTTGCTCCCTCAAGCACCACCACGGGTTGCTCCCGAGCAGAGGCAGGCTAGTGGGGAAAAAAGCCAGGGAGGGTCCAGCCCCCTAACACTCCTCCCCCCAAAAAAAATCAACTACCGCATGAAGGTGGGTGTGAGGTCACCGACACCGCTCATGGGGTGGAGGGAGCTTTGGGGAGCCTTGGGGTTCGCGTGCCTGTGCTAAAACAGCGGCTCAGTGCATCTGAGCCAGGTGGGCAGCGAGTGGGCACGGTATGGCATTGGGGCAGCTCCTGACCTGAAGGCAGGGCACTGGGGGCGGGGCTCAGGTCAGGCGCTGTGCCAAGGGGCGTGGCTTGGGCGGGGCACGGGGGCGGGGCACGAGTGTATCGACCTATATCAGCTCACCCCCACCTACTCCCCGCATCCCCGGGCCTGCCCCCCGCACCCAGTCCTTCATCCACCTACCACAGGCCACCGTCCAATAGATCTGCGAGTCCTGGGTCTGGTGCAGGATGCGATACGGTGCCACGCGAGCACTGGAGTCCAGCACCACGTCCAGGGTTCCTACGAGAAGACCTGAGGGCCAGGCAGAGAGGGGCAGTGAGGAAGGAAGGGAGGACCAAGGAGCAGAGGGTAAGAGTTGTCGCAAAGTCTAGATGCAGCCGGCGGGATACCCGCCACCCCTCCCCCACCACCAGGACGCGTGTGGGAAGGCACACGCGGCAATGTGCTATCTTTAAGTGCCCTACTGAGATCAGGGGATAAAACCAGGGTCCGCCAAAGACGCACCTGGATCCCCGTTCTTGGACTTATCTCCCCGTCCCAGCAAAAGACTTTTTTTCCTGCCCGGGTGGTGAGGGAGAGGGTTCCAGGCTGAACATGTGTTTTGCAGGAGGGAGTCCCAGATCTGGTCCCAGTACCACAATGGGAGTAGCGTTTGAGCACCAGAAGGTGTAACCCCCAACTAAAGACAAAGACTTACGCCCCCCACCCCAGCCTTCAGTGGTAATATCTATGCCCCATCCAAACTCCTATGAGGGCGGGGGTAGACCAACCCTACAGCGGGGAGGGCACTGGCCTCGCATTCAGCCAACCCAGACTCCATCCCCGGTATCCACTATGGTCCCCCGAGCACCACCAGGAGTAATGTCTGAGTGCAGAATCAGGAGTAACTCCCAAACATCTTGGGTGTGACCCAAAAAGCAAGCAAACAAACAAACAAAAATGCCCTCCCCTTAAGAGATAACTCAGAGGGAAAGAGCTTGTCTGGCTGCTGTATGACCTGGTTGGTCACCTGCCCCGCCTAGACAGGGCACAGATTTGGAGTATGTGGGTGTGGATCCCAAACCCGCACTCCCCAAAAAGGAGAATAAAAACGAGCAAAAAATTTTTTTCACTTCTTCTGGGACGCTTCTGTATTTCCTGTTTCTTAGGAATAGCACATGGTCTCCCCACCCCCAAGCATCCTGGAGGGCCAAAGACTGCCCTGGGTGCCCCCTGAGCACAGAGTACAGAGTCAGGAAGCAGTCCTGAGCACCACCGGATGCAGCCCCCCAAACAATATATCTATATATAGATATGGGGGCTCAGAAAGGATAGCAGCAAAGGTGCCTGCATGCAGCTGACGTGGCTTCTATCCCTGGCACTCAATAGGGTACCCCAAGCCCCTCTAGCCATGACCCTGAGCACAGAGGCTAGGGTCAGCCTTCAGCACAGAGACAGTGTTGTTACTGTTGCTGTTGTTGTTGTTTGGAGGCCACACCCAATGGTGCTCAGAGTTATTCTGGGCTCTGCACTCATGAATCACTCCGATGGTGCTCAGGAGACCACGTGGGGTTCTGGGGATCGAATTCCAGTCTGCCACATGCAAGGCAAGAGCCTTACCCACTGCTCTATCTCTCCAGGCCCAGAGAACCAGAAGTGAGCCCTGAGCACAGACCAGGAGTTGATTTCTGAGCACAGAGCCTGGAGGAGCCCTGAGTCCTGACAGGTCTGAAACCTGAGCCCAGGGTCAGGAGTGAGCCCTGAGCACAGAGCCGGGAGTAAGCCCTGAGCACAGAGCTGGGAGTAAGCCCTGAGCACAGAGCCAGGAGTGAGCCCTGAGCAAAGAACCATGAGTGACCCTGAGCACTGAGCCAGGAGTCAGCCCTGAGAACAGAGACAGGGGTCAGTCCTGAGCCCAGAGTCAGGAGTGATCCCTGAGCCCAGTCAGGAGTGACCCTGAGCAGAGTCAAAAGTGAGCCCTGAGCACCGAGCCAGGAGGAAGCCTGAGCACTTCTGAGTGATCTCTGCACCTGGGACCGATGGTGTGCACGGGAGCATTGTCGCCAGGAATCAGGGTGCTGGGGGTGCGGGACAGATGGCTCGCAGAGGGCACTTCCCACCATGTCCAGCAGGCCGCCCACCGCCCCAGGCGCCCACACATTCCGGCCCCCTTTGGAACCAGATGGGCAAAAGCTACAGGCTCAGGCCACGGAACACTGGTTATCTGGGGACAGCTGGGCAGGCCGCCGGCGAGGGACAAGGGACGGCCCAAAACTCGGCCTGGAGGGGTGCGGGGCCACCTCGCTGACATCCCGACGTGCAGCGAGGCCCAGGGAGCGGCGTGTGCACTGACCAGCCCGGGGGACTCGAGGGGGAGCGGCCGCGGCCAGTCCTGCGGAAGCCCAGGGACACTGGAGAGGAGAGGCCGCGGCCAGTCCTGCGACAGCCTCAGGACACTGGAGAGGAGAGGCCGCGGCCAGTCCTGCGACAGCCTCAGGACACTGGAGGGGGAAGAGGCCGCGGCCAGTCCCGTGACAGCCAGTGGCCTCCGCCCGGCGCTGCCGCGCCCCCGGCCCGCGCCGCCTGCAGCCCCCTGAGCGCCCCGCCCGGCCCCCCGACCTGTGTCCCCCACGGAGCGTCTCGCCCGGCCCCCGCCCGCTCCCCGCGCGCCGACGTGCGTGTCCGCGTCGCTGTCCGTGTCGCGCAGCGGCCAGGCCCGGCCCAGGTCGCCCTCTGGACGCCGCCGCGCGCCCCTCACCCGTGAGGCCGCCGCCTTTGCCGTGGCCCCGGCGCCGCTGCAGCACGAAGAAGGGGTTGGCTCGCTCCGTCACCCACAGCGCGTGGGCCACCAGCACCTCCTCCGGGGCCAGCCACATTGCGGGGCCGCTCGCTCGGGCACAGGCCCGCCAGGCGGAAGAGCCGCCGCCGTCGCCGCGCCAAGGGACGGGCGGGGGGCGGGGCCGCGCCGGCGGGGGCGGGACAGAGCCAGTCAAGGGGCGGGGCCACGCAGGGCCGAGCCAGTCAAGGGGCGGGGCCACGCAGGACCGAGCCAGGCAAAAGGGCGGCGCCACGCGGGGCTGACTCAGGCACATGGGCGGGGTATGGAGGCGGGGCCGAGTCCGGCGGGGGCGGGGCGGGGCCGATACAGGCAAAGGGCGGGGCCTTGCGGGGCTGACTCAGGCACATGGGGCGGGATCACGTAGGGCCGAGTCAGGCAAAGGGCGGGAGGGGGAGGCGGGACCCAACCAGGCGGGGGGCGGGGCCACAGAGAGCCGCGCCACTCTGGGGGCGGGGCCAGTAAAGGTCGCGCCAGGCACGGGGGCGGGCGGAGGCCTGGGCCTAGCGGAGGGTCGGAGTCAGGGGGCAGCGCACCACTCGAGTAGGGCACGGCCGGCGCTGGGGTGTGCCTACCCATCCGAGGGGGGAAGGGGCGAGGCATAACCCAGGCGAGCTGGGAGGACCGCAAGGATGCGGGGAGGGGCGGGAAGAGCGGGAATGAGCAGAAAGGCGGTACCCCTGGCGCCTGGCTCCTGCACTCGCGGAGTTTCCGCTGAACACTAGCTGCAGTGGGGGCTGCTGTGGATTCCCGGGCCCATCTCGCTCCATGTCCTTCCCCTGTCTGCGGATCCCATCAGTGCCACCTCAGCGAGAAGGCACAGTCCAACCTCTGTCAGGAGGAGCAAATCCTGTATTGGACCCTAGGGGGAAGGGCGCTTGCTTTGCACACGGCCGACCGGGGTTCGATTCCTGGCATCCCATATGGTTCCCCTGAACACTGCTGGGAGTGATTTCTGAGTGCAGAGCGAGGAGTAACCCCTGAGCATTGCCGGGTGTGGCCCCAGAACAAAAGGAAAAAATCCAGAGATGGGCTTGTGCAGTGTCCTGGAATTTGTTTCCTGTCTAGTGTCTGAGGGAAAAGGTAACAAAACTCTGAGAGGCTATACATCAGGGAAGGCGTTTGCCTTGCAAAACAAAAACCAAAAACAAGATAAGTACTTTTGAAAAACCCATTCTAAGAAAGGTGCCATACGAGAGGATGCGGTGCCGACAGCAGGTCACCCTGTACCGCGGAGAGAGTGCATCAGCAGCTTGATGGTGTCTTTAGATTTCCTGATACCCCAAAATTGCTGCTGTGTCTCCGGACAGACCAAGTTTCCCAAAAAATTAAATGGCCAAAAGTTAGGTATGCGGGAGTGACACCCACAAACTACCAGTTGCTTAGCTATACAAGCCCATCTATCGGCCTTGCTTCAGAGACCCATAAATAAATCTTGAAACAGATTTAAAGCTGCAGTTAATCTTGGACTGAGCAAGGCTGAACAGATGAGGGTGAATCAGAGGGGGGGCAGGTAAGCCTGGTGCCTACCCAGGCAGAGCCACTGGGAACTACTTGCTTCCACAATCCAAGATTGCCACCATACCTGTGGCCAGATTCTGCTGTTTTAGGATGGACCTCACTGAGATATAATCTGCTGAAAATTTGGGTATGTAGGTTTTGTGACAGAAATCTCCAGGCTTTCTTGGCGTTGGGATGGGCTACTTCCCTTCACCTCCCTGTAGTTCCAGAAGCCTCAGCAGGCACATCCACACCCCAAAGCTGCCAAAAGAACAGAAAAAAAGAAGAAAAGTGCCTGCCATAGAGGTAGGTGAGGGAAGGGCGGGTGAGATGTGGGATGGTGGGAGGGAACCGAGGGACACTGGTGGTGGGAAATGTGCACTGGTGGGGGGATGGATGTTGAATCATTGTTTGACTGAAACTCAATCAGAAACAGCTTTTTAATGGTGTATCTCATTAATATTCAATAAAAATTTTTTTTCTTTCTTTTGGGGGGGGTCACACCTGGCGATGCACAGGTGTTACTCCTGGCGATGCACAGGTGTTACTCCTGGCTTTGCATTCAGGAATCACTCCTGGCAGTGCTCAGGGGACCATATGGGATGCTGAGAATCGAACCCAGGTATGCTGCGTGCAAGGCAAACACCCTACCCGCTCTAGCCCCAATTAAAAAAAAATTTTAAAAAGGTGTCATACAACCGAGTGCATAGCAGGTAGGGTGTTTGCCTTGCACGCGGCTGACACGGCCAACTTGGGTTCGATTCCTCCGCCCCTCTCAGAGAGCCTGGCAAGCTACTGAGAGTATCTTGCCCACATAGCAAAGCCTGGCAAGCCACCCGTGATGTATTCGATATGCCAAACACAGTAACAGCAAGTCTCACAATGGAGACATTACTGGGCCTTCTCGAGCAAATCGATGAACAACGGGAGGACAGTGCTACAGTGCTTCAACCCAGTGCATTTTTTTTACCCAACCACTAAGTCCCTAGAACTACTGAAAGAGAAACTGATTTGGTCTACAGCCTGTGCTGTTCTTGTCTGGACAGTTGCTGTATCTTTGCAACTAGTCCTGCGAAACAGGACTGAAGTTACTGACACAGGAGGAGCACCCCCGTAGTCTACTTTTTTCTATTTAAAGTTTTTTAAATTTAATTAAAAAACTGTGATTTGCAAAGCCACTAATAGTTTTGTTTTAAGAATATTATATTCCGAAAAAAAAATCGGGGCTGGAGCGATAGCACAGCAGGTAGGGCGTTTGCTTTGCACACAGCCAAGATGGCTAATACAGGTTCAATTCCCAGCATCCCATATGGTCCCCCGAGCACCACCAGGAGTGATTCCTGAGTGCATGAGCCAGGAGTAACCCCTGAGCATAGCCGGGTGTGACCCAAAAAGCAAAAAAAAAAAAATTATATTCCGGGGCTGGAGCGATAGTACAGTGGGTAGGGCATTTGCTTTGCATGCAGCTGACATGGTTCGATTCCCAGCATCCCATATGGTCCCCTGAGCACCGCCAGGAATAATTCCTGAGTGAAGCCAGGAGTAACCCCTGAGCATTGCTGGGTGTCACCCAAAAAGCAAAAAAAATATTATATTTCAACACCAATTCCACCACGAGTGTCAACTTCTCTTCATCACAGTTTCCATATTTCATCCCTTCCCTGCCCCCCTCGTCCCCCCTGGCTCCCCTCCTGCTGTCATGACAGACACCTTTCAAAGTTTGATGGTTACAATTTATTTTTTAAATTTAATTTTTATTAAGTTATTTACAATAGTTGATTGCATTTAATATTCAAACACCAATCCCACCACCATTACACCTTCCCACCACCGTATTTCGGATGTTTCCATCCCAAACCCTAAACCCTGCCCCCAAAGCAGAACCGAAGTAATTTATTTTGTATTGCTTGTTTTGAATAATCCACTAAAAATGATCCCAAAAAGTTTTCTTAGAGGTAAGTGAGTGAAGATTATTGTATTTCATCCAGGAGCCATGAAGCCCTTCTCTAAGAGGTTAGTTACATGTTTTTCAAGGTTGAACCTTGTGTGCTTTTATATATGTATCTATATATATCCATATCTATTTCGTTATTTCCTCCTCAGATTGGTTGCCTTATATTTTAAACCCCATCAAATGTGGTGCGCTGCTCTTGGTATATCAGTGGTGTAAAGTATGAGCTGTCCAGGAATAGATTTACTCATGGGTGAGGCCCCTCTGAGCCTGTGGAGAACTGCAGTGAGCATGGCGGTGGTTGAGTTCTGGAGGTTCTTGGCTGCTGGGGCTGGTTCTCTTGGGGTGGGGAGGGATCTCACCTGCCCCTTCTGGGTTGCCCTGGATGAAACAGCCTGGGGGAGGGGGGGAGGCATCTCTATGGCATATCATGGTGGTTACAGTTTAGTTTGTTTTTGCTTTTTGGGTCACACCTGGCAATGCACAGGGGTTACTCCTGGCTCTGTGCTCGGGAATTACCCCTGGCGGTGCTCAGGGGACCATATGGGATGCTGGGAATTGAACCCGGGTTGGCTGTGTGCAAGGCAAACGCCCTACCTGCTGTGCTATTGCTCCAGCCCCGGTGGTTACAGTTTAGATCTCAAGTTTTCATTGTATACCTTCATTTTATTAAAAATTTTTTTCTTTTGTTTGCTTTGGGGCCTGACCTGGCCATACTCAGGGTTTCCTTACTCCTGGTTCTGCTGCACTCAGGAATCACTCTTGATGTTGCTTGGGAACCATATGAGATGCAGGTAAGGAAAGCAACCTACACGCCGTGTTCTATCTGGTTCCCTCCACCCAGGCCAGTGGCCCCACTACGCCCCTTTGTCTCAGGCCAGTCCCCTGGGTCACTTAAGCCCAGCTCCATCGTTTGCGATACGTCCAACCCCCTCATCCTTACCCGCAGCCGCAGCAAATGGGCGGGATGCTGAACCTGTCACATGTGTGGCCTGGCACCTCCATCCGCATCGGGGTGCTGCCACCCTCCAGCCATCAGCCGGCACAGTGTCCTGCCAAGGGACGCACGCAGGTACCACGGAGCAGCCCACCCGGCCAGCCCACCCAGCCCACCTCCCTCCAGGGCGGCAAGGAAAGGCCGCCGGCAGGTGGCGCCTGAGCCCACCGGGGGCTGAGGAGCGTCTCAATGTTCTTCCGCTCCTCACTGTCTCTTCACCTTCATCTGCTTCCTCTGCTCCATCCCCGCAGAGGACCTCTGCTCCTATATGCACAGAAGTTAGATAAACGATTTACAGGGCTTTTTCTTTTTTTGGTGGGGGCCCACACTGGAAAAGCCTCAGGACCTACTCCCAGCTCTGTGCTCAGCATCACTCCTGAAGGGCTGGGGATGGGGGGAACCACGTGGTGTAGGGTACCAAACTTTGTCAGCTGGCGCAAGGCCAACAGGCTTACCCTCTGTATCGTTGCTCCAACCGGCTTTTTTCCCCTTTTTCTTCCTTCCTTTTTTTTGGGGGGTGTCATACCAGGCGATGCACAGGGGTTACTCCTGGCTCTGCACTCAGGAATTACCCCTGGCAGTGTTCAGGGGACCATACAGATGCTGGAAACCCAACCCCAGGCCAGCCACGTGCAAAGCAAAAGCC